TTCAAACGATCCTGCAATGCTACCTAGCCTCCAAGCGCTGGTCTCTCACTTCCAACCAAACTAACCTACCAACCTCAAACCACTAGCCGGCGCACCAATCTGTGTGATGCCGTCGATCCTGCACACGGTGCCCTTGTACCTGGCGTGGTACTTGGCACCGCTGTATGGGCTGGTAACCGAAGGCATGCCGCTGTAGATGGGTGTGAAGCTAGCAGCGCAAATGTCAAAGTCGGCGAATTGGTCAAAGTCGATCTCGATGACGTCGCTGGGGTTCCTCTCGGCGACTGTCTTGACACGCTTAGCCTGCTCCTTCATCTTTGCGTTGCCGGTGCGGTCGAGCAGGGCGTTGGCAAAGTTCAGCGCCGTGTTCAACTGCTTGTTCTTGTGGGCAAAGGTCATGGCTGCTGAGAGCGGGATTGAGTTGTGTGGACCCTCGAGGTCAGGGACCGTGAAGTAGGCAGAGAGTTCGAGCGCGCGCTTCTTGTCCGAGTCGGAGAGGGCGGAGATGTCGGTAGCGCCGTTGAGCAGTTTGCGGCGCTCCAGTTCAATGGACATTGCCAGAATATATTGCGTGGCTGTGTTGATTGCCTTCTTCGCCTAGATGTATTTTAGTATGCGCTGACTGGATGTATGCCTGTGAAACTTACATCAGAAAACTCAGCTTGAGATGAAACGACGTTGACCATGATGAGCTGCAATAGGCTCTTGAGGACTGCGACACCCTCCTCCAATTTGTTCTTTTGCAAGAACTGCTTGCCAGCAGTCAAGTCAGTCGATAATATCGACTCCAAATCGCGTGGGATGATGGGCAGGATCTTGCGTGAATCGGTCTCGTCCACCGTTCTCCGTACGTAGTTGACCAGCGAAGGCATGTTTGGTGTCGCCGGCAAGTAAGTTCGGGTGGCTTGGTAAATCTCCTGGAAGCGTTCTTCAAGGGGAGCGAAGTTGACAGCACCAACCTGTCGGTTTAGTAACTGCATGGCAGTATCGAATGATCCTGCAGCAATGTGATCCGCCGCCAAAGGTGAGTTGCGTGCCCAGAAATCAGCTTCGCTGCTTCCTGCACCAGCATCAGCACCCTCAACCTCAACGAAGTCGTCGTCTGCTTCCACATCGCCATCGTCACCCATGTCCCAGCCACCGACATCGTCGTCCTCGTCGCCTCCAAGTTCAGCGGCCGCACGGGTAGGCTCGGCGTCACCCATAAGATCCTCGTCGCCAAAGCCGTTTGCTGTTGGTTCTTCGGATCCAATGCCTTCGACTTCGCCTTGGAGAGCCTTTTCAAATACAGTCGACGAAGCTGCGCGCGTTGGCCAGTTTGCTTTGTGAGTAGGCACTATAGGCTTAGCAGGCGCCGAAGGCGCACCTATTGAAGGAAGGTTGATCTGCTCCTCCGATACACCGGCAGCTTCCAGTATCGACTGTGCTTGTTCGTCAAGACCTTGTGCCTTGGCAGTGGCATACGCGAGGGGGTATAAATCAAGCTCCTGGAACATCTCTATCCGGTTTTGTACGTCGCCCAGGTAGAGTGCGTTCTGGAATCGTGCCGTCATGTCACCGCGGTGCTCCGCAATCTTAGCCATGCGCTTCAACTTGTCCTGATCTCCGGTAGTGAGGTACAGGAAAGATAGCTTGTCAAAGTTACGCAGCTTCTGGTAGGTCATCTCTACGGTTTGGTGGTTGCCGTGTGCTAGAGCTTCGGTGCTCAGCCGTTGCCAGAGCTTTGGTCGGTCAAGCTGCTTAGCCATTTCAACTGCAACCTCTAGATTACCGCATTCAATAGCAAGCTCGAAACGTGTCTGAGGATCTTGCACGAATTGAAGAGCAATCTCGGGATAGCCCTTCTTCTGGAGGTAGGAGATAATGCTCTGTCCAACCAGACTTGAAGTCTTGATGATGTTGAGCATCTCGTCGTAGTTGCGCTTGACTAGGGCGAGCTTGAATCGATATTCGGTGGGGTCGATTTGAAGAATTTTGGGCTTCGCAGCACGGTCTAGGCAGTATACGTTGCGACCCTTAACCCTCACAAGGTATACTGTTTGCTCCAGCGTGCGTACAATACCATTGTCGCCGTTCATCAGACTGTACTTGATGTGGTTCAGCGTGGAGTAGAGAAGAACACCAGTGTCGTCGAAGATTGCACTCTTGATCCGGATAGTCTCGTGCAGAGTGCTGACCTGCTCCAGGTTCTTTGTCGCAATGGTGACATTGTGTTTGCTCAGCAATGCGACGTGCAGTCCATCCGATGACCAGACGACGTACTTGACGCCGTTGACAGAGAGCTCAGCAAGGTTCTTCTTGGCCTGAATATCGTAGAGAACAACGGAAGTAGGGGTGATTAAGAGCAGGTTACCAGTGCCGCCAAAGTATATGTCGGTGGTTCCGTGCGGGGGCTTGATGGTCTTGGTAGTGGAGTTACTGAGATCCTTGATGTCGATCTGTTGGTTAGACTGGTTGAAGACCGCGAACCGATTCCTAGCCACGAAGACGGCGGAGTTGCCAGAACCGCGCTTGGTATCGGTCGGTTCCACCGCTCCTGAAGCGTCGCGCGGAAGGCTGATCAGCTCATAAGTTCCGCTGTCAGCTGGAGATGTGACCAGGATTGAGCGTTCAGCAGGGTTGTAGGACAGTGTTCGTGGGGGTACCCAGGCGCTTCCCAATTTCTTCAGAGACAGCATTGATGGAGACTCGATGTTCTTCTGGAAGTCGTAAGACCGCACGTGCTTCTCCTTGGTGATGTAGAAGAGGTTGTTCTGGTAGACGGCGGACGCGGGTCGCTCGCGTTCGAGCTTGAACACCATGACACCGTTGTCGTGACCAGCAGCGAACAGGTTGATCTCAGGATGGGCGGCGATGACCCAGAAGCGGTCATTTTCGCGCTTGAAAGACTGGACCGATGTACGTCTGTTGAGATCCCACACGCGGATCGTCTTGTCCTCTCCAACAGACAGAATCAAATCCTGGTGTGGGTGGAACAGACACGCCGACGCGTTCTGGAAGTGCCCTCGGCAGGTGTCGACTTCCCATGCCTTTGTTTCTGACATTCTCCACAACTTCACGAGACGGTCGTCACCAGCGGAGACGATCAACGGGAGTGTAGGGTGGAATGCGACCCAGTTGACACCTCGGTCGTGGCCTTCGAGGACGAACTTGACAACAGCATCGGTGTTGCCGAACATATCCGCCTGGTTCTGGTTCGCGCGTGCCATCTGGTCCTCGAATGACATAGCTTGTGGTGCCGAGTGCTTCTTCCTGAGCCCAGAGATGTCCCAAACGCGAACCGACTGATCGAGCGAGGCGGAAACAATGAGGTCTTCCTTCGGGTGGAATTGCGCGCACATGGTGTAATGGTTATGACCGGTCATAGTACATACTTCGGAGGGTTAGGTGTGTTTCTGCGAGGCATTGCGACAGACTTACTCAGTGAACCTATGGATGTTAGCTTTGTACCAGGGGAGTAGCTGCAGTGTTACTTACGGTTCTGCCAATTCCATATACGAATGGTCTCTGGTCCGTGTTAGCCATTGCACATCCAACCCATAGCATGCGCTTACGGTCGTCGGAACTACTCAATATCCATGGCAGCTCGTGGTGGAAGAAGACGGTCCGGACATAGTCCAAATGGCCGTTCAATGTGAAGAGACATCGTCGAGTCTGGTATGACCAAACTTTGATCTTGTAGTCGTCGCCACCAGACACGAATCTGTGCAGTCTCAGTATGTTGTTGGCCCTCCCCAAGTTGTCCACGGGATGCTCACAATGGCTGGGTCTTGTGGAAGTCAACGCCGCGGACCGGCCCGTCGTGTTCTTCGAAGCGATCTATAAGGGTACCCATGCGGTAGTCCCATAGTTGAATGGTCGACGAGTGTAGCGACACAAGGATCCATGGCCTGGAAGCGGTCAGCGGGGATGGGAGCCGCGTGGTGTAGGTATAAGCTACCTCTTGGGGTGAAAGGCAATGCCTTTCGCACGCGAAGACTTGGACTCAAACTGCTCGGAATTAGCTAGCTATACGGTCGCATAGATGAGAGCTGCTTGCCTTGGTCAACATCGAGGGAGAGGAAGCCATGGCGGAATTGGGGACGAAGCCGCAGCTTCACGGTCGTCTAGAGTGGCCTCAATGCAAGAGACAGCAAGCGCGAAGGGATACGGGTATATGTGAAGGAGAAAGAAACACGGTGTTGACTATTATCTTTGGTATTGCTGCCTGCGTGAGCTGCTCTTGCTAATGTTCGATATGCCACGCAACATTCGGATTGACCACCTAACCGTCTTGGTCTCTAGCGCCCTTTCCCCACCAAGGTCACGTGAGATCTGCCAGACATCGCCTCAACTCCGTCTGAAGCGCTCGGGTCGTGTTTCAATTTCAAGCGAACCTCGAGTTCCCACACTAGTTGCCGTAAGGCAGAGCCTCACTTCTTGACGCTGCCTCATCTCAATTTCGCCGCCGCTGCGTGGCTCGGCTCCCCTGGTCTGGCGTCCTGCAACGATGCCCCGCAGAACTCACCAATGCGACTCCGTGTGCCAGCTGGCATCGTAGTGCCAACCCTACCTACCCGCCCTGTGCAGAACAATTTTGTTCGCAGACCTCATTGGGCATTCATCCTGCCTGACGCAAGGTAGATTGCCCGAGTCTCTGTTGCGACTAATCGTTCGCAAACACGCAGCATCGGAGTCATGGAGGAAACCGATGCTGCGCATGGAGAGGGCAGCAATGCTGCAGACCCGCTCCGTGGCCGGCCAGCTCATTGCTGAAACGCAGGTGATAATTGGCGACAGCCCGCACACATTTCTGTCTCTGCAGGGAATTCATACCTCCTCCAGTACTCTTCTTCCCCTTTTACGTTCCCATTCGATCACCACAGACGCATCGCATCCGAGCTGACCTGCACTTTGTGGCTGTTACCGATCTGCGAGCTACGCTACCTGCATTGCTGCCTATAGTACTCCAATTCTACCTGCACGATAAGCCAAGGCGTTGCAGGGTTCGACTTGTCAAAACTCTCCACCTCTCCGCTCGAGCTCGCCGCTCAGATATCCCAGTAAAACACACCCGGGCCACCTCCAGAATGATACAGTCGACGCAACTCCTCTTCCGTATTTCAAAGATTAGACACGCCTGTCGGACTTTGATCCCTTAAGAAGTCAGCATAGATACCTGAAAAGATCATCGATACGTACGCGATCGCAATTGGCTGCAAGCAAGCCTGACGCAACTTTCCCCGTCAAATCACCACGACACCCTCCTGGCTATGGCAACACACCACGAATTGCCAGCCGCTGCGCTCAACGGCCATCCGCAATCACCACCCATGACGCCTACTCCCCATACACATAGTCGCTTCCCGCCACCAAAATTCCAAACCTCTCCAGTACACCGGCGCGTAAGCAACTTCATCCAGACACCTCCACTGGAGTACATTGAACCGACCGGACACGACTATCACTTCAGCTTCACACGCCCGCAATCGTGCCCGGCATCTTCGCGTATGTCGTCAGAGTCTGACAGAGCTTATCCGGCAACAACGTTGGAGGGATCTGAATACGAGACCGACTCTGAGGAGGATTGCGAATCGGATCAAGAAAGTGAACAAGAAGAGGAGATACCGATGCGTCGGGTAGAGAAAGCCCAATTCGTACTCGAAGAACTGGACAGCGATCCAGGCTACGACTGTGACGTAGAGGTAGTGCGACCGGATCATTGCGAAGACGCAAGAAGCGAAAGGAGCGGCACAAAGGCAGCAATATTCGCCAGAATGAACGAGTTACAACTCGAAGAAGACAGTTCAGAAGACGAGGAAAGGGAGCGCATTTACCTTAAGAAGAAGAAACGATGGAGCGCAGGCATCTTCAAGCGCAGCCACAGCCAGAGCGTGGAAGGAGATAGCAGCTACTCCGACAACGACCCTCTCGACGACCTGGACCAGGGCGCTCGCCGACTGCGACGCCGCGTACGTGGGCCTAGAAGAGAATCCCTCATCTTCGTAGACCGCGGCTTCTCGAACACGAATAACATTGCGGAGGTTGAAGAACCTGACGAAGGAAGAGTGCTACACTCGAAGGGGCCGCCATCCATCCCCAGTGATGACGCCTTCACTCTAGATGAACTGCCGTTTTGGGGAGGGCACAACATGATGGACATGGAGTTCGAGTCTGACCAAGTGTCAGAATTATGATTCACGAATCTTAGAGGCCATGACCATGACCTGACGGCTGTTTTCTTAGCTCATTGCGTTCCCGAGCGACACGCTTGCTGTCGACTGTTGGATTTAGCGTAGCGTACTATTTTCTGAATGCATCTGTTTTTACCTGCACATTGCTCAGCACCCGCCAGACCGTGAGACATGGCCTAGGTGCGAATTTGAAATTCACCTGCGTCTAAGCTCTGGCTTTGTTGCAGTTTGTTCTTAGAGACGCGTTGGTCTCGCGAGTCAGTACGGGCTAAACTTAGCCATCCTTAGGTAAACAGAAGGCCCACCTGCGCAGGCGTCAACCACGGAAGCTGACGGCCACTTGCACGCGACCAAATCCACGCACTGCCAGCTGTTAGGGCAACACGCATTTTCGAAGGACGCGGATGCTCGCCCTCCCGTTCTTTGCGCCTAGTCGAATGACCGCAGTCACAGAAAGCAGCTCATCTCGCGCGAGACTACCCCAAGGCTAGCCTCACTATGTGAACGTTTACCGGTAGATTGCACACGCATCATCATCCCTTCGCACGGTCACGTTTTCTAGTCGTTTCAGCTTCATCAGCGCAAGCGTCAAGAAGTAATTTCCATCCTTTGTCCCATCTATTTCGTGCAAGCGACGCCGAAATGCACCGCCCCGCACAAGATCTACGCCCCATCAGCGCTCCCGCTGTAAGGCTGACGGACCGCCAGACATAGTCGCACCGACTTCAGATCCCAGCCAATGATTATTCTTGACCCCAGGATGTCTAAGCATATCGCATCCGTCGCTGAAGAAAGTACACAATTAGTCGGCAAGCGTCAACAACGTACTGTACAGCCCTCCGGAACCGTGACTTCCGTCTAGGACAGCTGATGGTGCTGGTAAGACCGATGAGAACAATGGAGGTATAAGTAAAGCAGCGTAGAACACCCAGTTGGAGAATCATCCCCTTACACAACAACCAAGAAACCATACTACCATCTCATCTTTTCCTCTTTACTTTCCATTATCTCCTTGTTTCCTGACTGTCTACCCAAGCCTTCGCTTCTTAATCAGTAATCATGCTCACCATCACCAACATCGTGGTCGCTTCGCTCGCTCTCGGTGCCGTTCAGGCTCTCCCTCAGCATATCCATGCGAGACAGGACAATGCTACTTCCACTCCTGCTGCCCCGGCCGCACCTGCTTCGACGCCTGACATTTTCGACGACCTCCTGACTGCTCCTACGGCTATCAAGCGCTTCCAAAGGCTTTTGACTGTTGGAGAAGGCCCTGAAGGTCCTGAGCTCCTGAAGGGAGACGACCTCCGCAAGGCGACCGTCTTCACTTTCGACAGGAATGCGAAGCCAGCTCCTGGCGCAGAGGGTGGCGTTGCGGTCGCAGCTGTAAGTCTCCTCATTCCTGTAATCAACAAACCTTATACTAATCCCCTCCCCAGAACATCGGAAACTTCCCCATCCTGACCGGTCTCGGCATCTCCACCACCGTTGGTTTCCTCGAACCCTGCGGCATCAACACTCCCCACGTCCACCCTCGTGCCACCGAGATGCTCACCCTTGTTGAAGGCGAGAAGATGGAATTCGGTTTCGTCCTCGAAAACGCCCTCGTTGGACCCAAGCAGAACCCAGAAGTCGCCGGATACCTCAACGCCTTCGAGGCTACCGTGTTCCCCCAGGGCTCCATCCACTACCAGTTCAACAACAACTGCAAGCCGGCGACTTTTGTGGCCGCGCTCAACTCCGAGGACCCTGGTACTAGCCAGATTGCGCAGAACTTCTTTGCTCTTAACTCGGAGGTTGTGGATGCTACGCTTGGTTTCCCGGTAGGTTACATTTGTCAGAATGGTGTGGAGTTTGTGCTAACATGAGAAAAGGGTCAAATCAACAGCAAGAACATCGACGAGTTCGGTGCTTCTCTTCCTGCCAACCTTGCCCGTGATGCCAGAGCTTGCATGGCTAAGTGTGGACAGTAAATTCACCGGGGAAGTCGTAACACGTTGAGCGAGACTGGGATGGTTTAATATGGCACGACGACATCTTCGAATGCAGCATACATAGCGACGGCGTGATTCGGATTCTTTGAGCGATTGGTGGGCAGCACTTATTGGTTTTACTTCTTTGTGGATTTACCTTGATTTCGTTTGTCACTTAGCTATACACTCCTTATACAAGCGAATAGAAAACACTTGTTTATTAGAACTACTGCCTTTTGTCATGCGGGAGTGTTTGTCTCGTACACGCGCCTGGATCTGCGGTCGGCTTTGTCGGAGGTAAACTTCTACGAAAACTGGATATAACGAGAAAGTGAGGTCTAGGTAATCTAAGGGACAATTCGTGAACGCGGAAAGAGCAAAAAAAATGTGACTGTCAATATATGGTGGAGAGTTGACCCGAGCTGGCTCGAGGGTACTGGACCCTGGAAATGTTATTCTGGTGACTGTTCCCGGCCCCGCAACGACTCATCCAGTTGGGCGCAGGGCGCAAGACAAACCAACCACTCGCACGCTTCGACTGAGCTTGATAAAGACAGCCTTAAATCTTTATTCTTGCACACTCCTACTTTCTCCAAATCACTCTATTATTCTCCTTTCGGTCTCAAGTCAATTGGCACACAAGCTGCCCCTCGTACCCCACCACGGCCGACACAATGGCAGACCCCGCGGCAATCCAGCAGGAAATCGCGGACATTGAGAAGAGAATCGAAGAAGCGCAAACACAACTCAAGGATGCAAAGTCAAGATTACAAAAAGCCCAGGCGGCTTCGTTCGTCAACCCCGGCGGGAACATGTCCGAGGAAGAAAAGATGGCGCTCATCAAGGTCAATCTGGCGGAGGTCTTGAACCCAGAAATCATGGACGAGGCGCTGAAGAAGCAAGGACACTTGAAGGTTTACTGGGGTACTGCGACAACAGGACGGCCACACTGCGGTTACGTATGTTTACATCGCGAGATACGGTCGCGTGCACTGCTAACGACATATGCTGTAGTTTGTACCTATCCTCAAGCTCGCGCAGTTCCTCGCTGCAGGCTGCCACGTCAAGATCCTTCTCGCAGATATTCACGGTTTCCTCGACAACCTAAAAGCGCCCATCGAGCTCGTCAAGTTCCGCGCAGAATACTACCGCTACACCATCACCGCGCTACTCAAGGCCGTCAAGGTGCCAATCGACAAGCTAGAGTTCGTGCTGGGATCAAGCTATGAGTTGAACTCGGACTACACCATGGACCTGCTTAGACTAGCAAGTATAACAAGCGAAGCAGCAGCAAAGAAAGCCGGCGCAGAAGTCGTCAAGCAAACCGAGAACGCGCCCTTGAGTGGCCTCATCTACCCACTTATGCAAGCCCTCGACGAGCAGTACCTCGACGTAGACGTCCAATTCGGAGGCGTAGACCAACGCAAGATTTTCGCGCTCGCAAAAGACGTGCTCCCCAAGATCGGCTACAAAGAGCGCGCCCACTTGATGAACCCTATGGTTCCCGGTCTACAAGGAGGAAAGATGAGCTCGTCCGACCCAGACTCCAAAATCGACGTGCTAGACGACGCAGACGTAGTAAAGCGCAAGCTCAAGAAAGCGCACGCCGCGCCCAAGGTCGTCGAAGAAAACGGCGTCCTAAGCTTCGTCGAATACGTCCTCCTCCCCGCCAGCCACCTCAACTACGGCGAGCCCAAATTCGTTGTCAAGCGCCGCGATGCCGAACCCCTTACCTACACCGATATCAAGAAGATGCAAGAAGACTACGCAAACGACATTCTCACACCCCAGGATCTCAAGCCTGCTGTTACAGAGGCGCTCAATGCCCTTCTTGAGCCAGTGCAGAAGGAGTTCCAGGGGAACCAGGCGTGGAAGGATATCGAGCAGAAGGCTTACCCGCCGCCGCCCGTGGTTAAGAAAGAGAAGAAGGTTAAGAATAAGGGTACTTTCCACCCGAAGCAGAGGAATGTTGAGGCTAAGCCTGATGGGCATGTTGAGGGTGAGGATAAGGCGAAGGTTGATGTTGGCACTGAGGGCGGGGATAAGGCTATTGAGGGACTGAGTTTGGAGGAGAAGAAGTAGATGGGTTGGATGGAGATGTTTAGTGATACCGCGTAGATGGAGCATACGAGTTGCGTCCGCCGATTGCCTATGTCTGCAGCATATCTCTGATTTTATTAGTGATGGCAACATGCTCTGGCTGGTGCAAATTCCTCGTCCCCCAAGCAGCCTAGAAGAGACTGTCACAAACTTCCACATCCAACAGCCGTTGGTCCCCTTGCTCTTCCAAAGCCGCCAGTGCTACCAGCCTGTCCTCGAAGCAGCTGGCTTCGCACCTTTCCCCATCCCTGTGAATATCTGTCCAAGCATCCCCACCCTTCCCCTCAAGAATACAGCTCCGCCTCGTCCACCCTTCTCATCTCTGGCACCCCACCCATCTCCCCATGCCCCCCATGCTCCGGTCTCTTCAACGCCGTCCCCTCCTTCAAATACAAGATCAACCTAAACGCCGCATTCCCATTCAAATAATACCGATGCAATCGCTTACTCCTTATAAACCCCAACCTCTCATACAATTTCAAACTCGCAGTATTCGACACCTCGGTCTCTAGGACGATCTCGTCGGCGTCGCGCGCAGTCATGGCATCGATGGCGAGGCGAACAAGCTGCGTGGCTATGCCGCGGCCGCGGTACTCTTCTTGCGTGGCGAGCATGGCGATGTAACCGCGGTAGGTACCGCTGCGGTGGGGTTCGAGTTTGCAGGTTATCACGCCGATGAGAGTGTTTGTGGGAGAGAGGGCCTAGGGTTTGAGCGTTAGAGAGAGTGTTCTGGGGAGGGGAGGATGGGGAAGTACCATGTAGCATAAATCACCCCATTGGTATAAGAAGTACCGGTATACATAGATACTGTATGGCTCAGACAGGTCTTTAGAGATTAGTTGGCGGATAGCGGGGAGGTATCGCTCTTCTTTCGAGGGTTCGTATTGGACATATTGGAGGTCGTCGGGTTCTTTCAGCTGTTTGGTCGAGGGTGTCGCCGTCGCCGTCGCATCAACTGTGACGTCGCCATCTTCATTGTTGGCCATGGCGCGTGGGAAGGAGAGCAATGCGCGTATGCGAAGCCCCTCATAGCGGCCGGCTTGGCCCGCCGTGTCAGGAACGTGCTTTCTCGTGCATCCTTGTGCCGATCATTCCGTCACATGCCGAGGGACGATAACCAAAAACAATCTCGTGGCAGTCGCTCCCGCTTCCTCGTACAACCCCGCGTAGGATATTTTGACAACACTTCGTTCATGTCTTTCCTGAGACGCCGCTTCGGCGGTGGCGGCGGTGGCGACGATAGCGAGATCTCGACGCCCGAACTATCCCGCGAACCTTCTCCCGGACCGGATGGGAAATTCAAACGTCCTGCGAACTTGCGCCTGATTACCGCGGAGCAGTTACAGACGCTCAAGAAGAGGGGGCAACATAAGAAACGGAGAAACTTCTGGGTGTTTGGTCTGGGAGGCATATTCGGGTTGTTGCTGGCGGGCTTCTTTGCGAGCAGTAATGACATGATTGATCTGAGTAGTTTGGAGGGCGTCAACTTGGAGAGCATCATGGAGGCGCTGCCAGACAACTTTGTGAAGAGCGCGCAGCAGATGCAGGTACGCGCGACTTCCGCTCCCTCCATAGGAGGACTGAATGGGAGACCCTGCGCATCCAGAGGAATCGAGGCTGACTGCCCCAACTCAGTAGAAATCAGAAAAAGACGCCGTAAACTACGATTCCTTCGCCGTTGGTCTGCACGCGCAGAAACAAGGCATCAAAGCCAAACACCCTGTTATCATGATCCCCGGTGTCATCTCGACGGGTCTTGAATCTTGGGGCACAGAAGAAGAGTCAAGACAATACTTCCGCAAGAGACTATGGGGATCATGGACAATGATGCGCGCGCTTGTCCTGGATAAGGCGCAATGGAAACGACATATCATGCTCGACAAAGACAGCGGTCTCGATCCACCGGGCGTGAAGCTACGAGCAGCTCAAGGTTTCGACGCAGCCGACTTCTTCATAACAGGCTATTGGATATGGAATAAGATTCTGGAGAACCTCGCTACCATCGGGTATGATCCAGGCAACGCCTTCACAGCAGCCTACGACTGGCGCATGTCATACATGAACTATGAGATACGCGACCAGTATTTCACGCGCCTCAAGTCGCACATCGAAGTCGCCGTGCGCGTGTCTGATAAGAAAGTCGTCCTGCTCTCCCATTCCATGGGCTCACAGGTTCTCTACTACTTCCTCCACTGGGTCGAAGCAGAAGGTTACGGCAACGGCGGCCCAAACTGGGTCGACGAATACATCGACAGCTGGATCAACATCAGCGGCTGCATGCTCGGCGCCCTAAAAGACATGCCCGCCGTCCTCTCCGGCGAAATGAAAGACACGGCCCAACTCAACGCCTTCGCCGTCTACGGCCTCGAACGCTTTCTCTCGCGCTACGAACGCGCCGAGATCTTCCGCGCAATGCCCGGTCTCTCTTCCATGCTGCCCCTCGGCGGTAACGCCGTCTGGGGCGACGAGACCGGCGCGCCCGACGACTTACCAGGCCAAAACGTAACGTTTGGCCCGTTCATCCGGTTCCGAAATGCAAACAGCACGATGACGCAGAAGAATATCACTGTGGATGATAGTCTCCCCTTTCTCTTCCGCAATACGGAGCCCTGGTTCAAGAAAATGATTCAAACTTCCTACTCCCACGGCGTTGCCCACACGACCAAACACGTCGAAGACAACCAGTTCCTTCCCGCGAAATGGGTGAACCCCCTCGAGACCCGGTTGCCACTCGCTCCCAACTTGAAGATTTACTGTTTCTACGGTGTAGGTAAAGATACGGAACGTGCGTATTATTACCGCAGTGATGATGATCCGTTGTCAGGGTTGAATGTTACCCTCGACACGATGTTTACCCAGCAGGAGGGCAATGTAGATCATGGCGTTGTCATGGGCGAGGGGGATGGCACGGTTAATCTGTTGTCGAGTGGGTATATGTGCACGAAGGGGTGGAAGATGAAGAGGTATAATCCCGCCGGGGTGAAGGTGACGACGTTTGAGATGAAGCATGAGCCTGATCGCTTTAGTCCGAGGGGGGGACCTAATACTGGTATGTCTTCTCTATCCCTCTCTCCCTCGCTTTCTTCTGATTTTGGATTCATGCTAACGATTCATGTGAAATAGCGGATCACGTAGACATCCTAGGCAGAATGTCGCTCAACGATCTCATTCTGCAGGTCGCCGGTGGAAGGGGCGAGTTGATTCAGGATACTATTCATTCTAATATTAGGGAGTATGCTGAGAAGGTTAAGATATATGAGGAGGAAGACTGAGGTCCTGGAGGAAAGGGGGGTTGTTTATATGACTAGCGATGACAGCGATGACGATCCTGGGTAGGGAGATGATGTTGGGCATGGATAGAGGTGGACGGCTCAGATCAGACTGATCGACTGATCGATTGCTAGAGACCTTGGGAATGATACCATAGACTACTGTTTACCACTCACTACACTCTTATCCATCTTTCTCACCCAGGAGACCAGGTTGGACAACCGTGTTTCCACTATGCTAAGTTAAGAGACGGTGTCCTCCAAGCTAATGCTGTTGTTCGGGTACTTGGCCTGGTGAATCTGTGTTGGGAGCTTGTTCTCCTTCTCCTTCTCCTTCTCCATCGTTTTCGCTTTCTGCAGCAATAGGATAATGATGGTTTTCCTCCTCTTCTACTATTGCCTCTCCCTCCTCCTCCACTACCCCCATTCCCTCCTCCTCTACCTCCCCCTCAGACCCAGACTAAAAGTCCGCCTTCCCACCCATAACCTTCGCCGCATTAACCGCACTCATCTTGTTCGCCCAGCCCTGCGCAGGAACAATCTTGCGCACCGTCCTAACCTCATCCGACGCATATCCTGGAATACGGATATTGTAATTGCGCTCGAGTATGACTTGAATATCGCGGATATCAAGCTGGGGCGAGTCGCGAAGCTTGCTAAGCTTGCACGCGTTGCTGATGACGTTGTCGACGAAGTCGTCGGCGAGTTGGAGGACGGCCTGCGGAGTGGTTAGACATTGTGTTTGAGGGTATAAAGGACATGCGACTTACCTCTTCGACTTCTGGTGTCAAGGCCTCTTCTGATCCACCGGTTACCTGTCTTACGAGCTCATCTAGCTTCCGCTTGCTGAGCACGCGGTCGCCTTCACCTTCGAGCTGGAAGGGGGGTGGACGCGGGATAACGGGCTGGCCCATGGGTCCTGGCGCGCCGTTGGTAGGGCCGCTCATAGTAGGTCGAGATTGGCCCATGTGGACGGCCTGTGGTGAGGTCACGTTGAGATGGCGTGGGATAGGCATCTTGGGGTTGTTGAGCTGCTCGCGCTCGCGACTCCCAAAGTTGCCGCCTTGTCCGCCTTGCTGCATGGGTGTGTTTGTGCGTTGCGGATCGGTGTAGGAACGGTTTGCGGCGCTGACGGCGGCGCTGTGAGAGAGAGGGATTGGTGGGCCGGGCGCGTTGGAGGCGGCGGATTGCGGGTGTGGTGAATTGCTCTGCTGGTGCGCGTTCGCTTGCATGGGGTTGATCTGAGGTCGCTGCTGTTGTTGCTGGTGAAAGTTCTGTTGCTGTTGTCCCTGCGCAAATTGCGGCATCTGGTTCGGAGGCATTGTCTGCGCATGAGGCCCTGGCGGAGGTCTAGCTTGCTGCTGTCCTTGCTGCATTTGTTGCTGCTGCGGAAGTGAAGGCGGCATCTGCTGGTTGTGTTGTTGATTATGTTGCTGTTGCGGCGGGCCCTGCTGGTGGTTCCCTTGATTTGCCTGCATGTTGAACTGAGGTTGGGGTTGGGATTGGGTTTGCGATTGTTGTTGGGGTTGTGGTTGTAGTGTCTGTCCGCCCTCAATCTTGATCTGCGGCTCCTCTTTCACTTGGGGCTGCGCTGGCATGCTAGGTTGTGAAGGCTGGCGCTGAGGCGCTTGGGGCTGTTGTTGCGGCGGTTGCTGCTGCTGTTGCTGCTGTGGGGGCGATTGCGCTGTGTTCTGGCCCTGAGGTTGCGCCTGAGCCTGGCCCTGCGCATTTCCCTCGCGCTCCTCCTTCCACTGCTTCTGCATGGCACGGAACTTGTCAATCTGAGCCTTAATCTTGGCAGACTCCTTCTCAATATTGGCCTTCATCATGAGCTGCTCCTGAGGTAGTTCCTGCCCATTGTTCTGCCTTTCGGTAAGCTGATGAACAAGTCTCCGTCTCTGTTCGTTAAAGGAAGCTTGTTTGGCAAGCATGTTCAGATAACCAGACCGGTACTCCTTGATTTTGGTTTCGTACTCGGGTGTGCCTGGCGCCGGTCCATTCGTAGGTCCCTGCATGGGGAACTCGTGGACATGCTTGACGATGGCAGGATCAACCTGGCCGCGCCCTGGGTTCTGGCCTTGGTTGGGCTGTTGTCCTTGGTTTTGCTGGTTGGGTTGCGCGCCGGCACCACCAGCTCCTCCATTGGGACCTTGACCCCCTTCCTGCTTGACCGCGTTGGGGTTCTGCTGGCCGGCTGCACTTGACTGTCCAGCTTGTCCTTGATTCTGATTTCCCTGTTGCTGTTGTGCCTTCATCTTTGCGCGATATTGGCGTTCGCGCGCGATGAACTTTTGCGACCAGTCCGTCAGCTTCTGACGCGCCGTGGTATTCTCCTGGCTGCCCTGCGGGTTGTTGTTGAAGATGTTCCAAGAGCTCTGCATGATCAAGCGGTACTTCTGCTTCTCGTCTTCGGGAAGACATTGTAGCTTGAGGATGTCATCGGGGCGTAGCAGCTGTTGACCTTGCTGCTGGCCGCCGCTGGCCTGCTGTGGCTGGGATTCGCTCATCGCGAGGGCTGCGGACTTCGGAGCCGCGCGTTGGAGGGTCGAGTCGTATGCGAGCTTTGATGCGGGAAGAGGTTTTGGTATTGTCGCGTAGTTGCCGTGATTAAAAAATGAGTGGCGGAGATGGGTTTTTGGTGTATGAAGTTTGATAGTGGGAGTGGTGAGGTTTGGAGTGATGGTCCATGGATGGAGGCCAAGCACCCGACTCCCATGTCGCGTTTGTACGACTGCACGTGCACGCGTCCTTACTCACAAATATAATGTGGATCAACCGAGCAACTTCTCTATTATCTTGCATCTGAATAGTACTACCGCTCCGATGCAAAGGGTATCTCACTACTCTGAGAATCTATCTTCGAAACCTCACCTTTCGCGAGCGCCCGCTCTCTGGTATTTCGGACCTCCCACTCGAATTCCTTGAGTGCCCTCATCTCGCTACCAACAAACAACAACCCCATCAATCCATCGATGACACCCACGCTAAATCCCAGCGTGCTCAATAGCATCAGTATGAAGGCAACGTAGTTCTTGGGTGACCACCAGACACCAATCAGACAGCCAACGGAGAAAGAGAGCTGGTAGAAGAAGTGACCAATGCGCAGCTTGCGCTGGATCCTTTCTCGGACCTGGTACTTGAGTATGGTTGCCATGATCTCATCGTAGACCTCGATGGGCAGATATTGCTCAGGCAGTGCCCATGGAGATAGCCGTATGGCTGATGGATCAGTAGAGGTTCTCGTCAATGTCGCTTCGACAGAGAAATGGTCGCTCAAGGAACAGTGTAGCGTAGGATGACGCATCGCCATGCCTACATTGGCTTCCTTGAGCTCCCACTCCGCTGTCTCCTCCTTTGTCTCCGGATGGTGGTATCGACCGCTGCTGAAGAAGACGTAGTCAAGTCGCTTCGCGTTCGGGTCTGGGACGGCAGGATCTATCTGCACATTTTCGCCCTTATTGAGACGTCTCTGTTGTCCTTTGTTCCATCGCCAGGAGTTCAGCTCACTATCGCATGTTGCTCCATTGACAGTCATATTGAACTGCGCAGATGGCATTGGTACGCCGCGAACTTGCTCGACCTTGTCTTTCGCTGCTCCGATGGAGGATTCAGGGTGAAGGATGCGCCATACGTCTCGAACAGGCGAATGCGTTTCTATGATGCGGTGTGCGAGGGATAAGGGGATCATGTTGAAGTCGCCCATGCCGATGACGAGATGTCCGCGTTCAGCCGCTGCGCGCATGAGTTTTGTGATTTCCCACGCTTGGGCTGTTCGGTGGCAGATGTAGGAATCGTGTGGTTCGCGTTCGTACGGGGCGTGAAGCTACCCAAGTCAGTATATGTACTTTGTGGTTGAAAGAGCGACTAACATGCGTGCAAAACACCTCTGCGATGTCTCTCTTGGACGGCCCCATCTGAATCCTCGCACATGCGACTCCCTTGCCCACGAACCAATCGCCGCGATAGAATGCAGCAGGCCGTCCATTCAGAGGATACCGCACCATGTTGCTCTCGAGAATAGGCCATCTTGACAGAATGACTAAACCACCACCAAAGATTCCGCTGTGGTAGAACTTGCCATAAGGCAGTATATGTTGTGTCTTCTCCCGAATGGCATTGTAGTCTTGCTGCGTCCAGCACTCCTGGAGCCCTACAATGTCTGGCTGCGGACTGGCGGCGGCGATCTGATTTCCTATTTCGGTAAGGCGCTCATTGCGGAGTTTGGAAATGAACTTGAGGCCCCAGCAATTGAGCGACAGGATGCGTATACTCGAAGGTGGTGGGCCGAGTTGTGAATCCATTGTGTAGGGTGACGCGAGTTAAACTGACGGGTATGATGCAACCCAGGAAATGTACCTGAGATGCTGCAGGGATGCTGGGGACCGCCTGCACGCTAACTTTCCCACTGCCGATCAGTCGCGTTCCAATTCACTACGCAACATCAAATCAACTACCACACTGGAAATGGACGCTACCCGATCGACCTCACCCAAAAGACGGCGCGAAGACGAAGACGGCTACGACGATGAACGGCCACGCAAACGCTCCGCCTCCCACGAGCCGCCCAATGCCTCCCCAAGCTACAGGATAGCGGAAAGACCCGCGCGCCGGTACAGCAGAGGAGACAGCGACGACGACCAACACGAATACAGAGACAGACGGCCCTCCTACTCGCGCTCGCGATCACGGACACGCCGCTCCAGCACCTCATCCTCGCACCAGCGCCGCACCTCCCCACCCTCAAAACCCACCACTCTAAACTATGCGCCCACTCTCATCCTGCGCGGCCACAAGAAAGCCATATCATGCGTCAAATTCTCGCCCGACGGCCGCTACATCGCCAGCGCCTCAGCCGACTGCACAATCAAGATCTGGGACGCCCACACCGGCGCCCTCGAACACACGCTCGAAGGCCACCTCGCAGGTATAAGCACGATATGCTGGTCTCTCGACTCCAAGATCCTAGCCAGTGGCTCCGACGATAAGAGCATAAGACTCTGGGACACGACCACGGGACTCGCCCACCCCACGCCTTTCATCGGCCACCACAACTACGTCTACAGCATAGCCTTCAGCCCCAAAGGCAACATGCTCGTCTCAGGCTCCTACGACGAAGCAGTCTATCTCTGGGACGTCCGCGCCGCGCGCGTCATGCGGTCTCTGCCAGCGCACTCCGACCCTGTTGGCAGTGTAGACTTTGTCCGCGACGGCACGCTCATCGTGTCGTGTTCGCACGACGGCTTGATTCGTGTCTGGGACACAGCAACAGGCCAGTGCCTCCGCACCCTCGTCCATGAAGACAACGCCCCCGTCTCCTCGGTCATCTTCTCGCCAAACGGCAAATACATCCTCGCGTGGACACTAGACTCGTGTATCCGCCTTTGGAACTACATTGAAGGGAAAGGGAAGTGCGTGAAAACGTATCAAGGACATGTGAATAAACAGTACTCGCTGTCTGGTGCGTTTGGCACGTATACTGGCAAAGAAGAGGGTGTCGAATACGCATTCGTTGCGTCTGGCGATGAAGAGGGGCAGGTGGTGTTGTGGGATGTTAGTAGTAAGAATGTGTTGCAGAGGCTGGAGGGGCATGGCGATGCGGTGCTGAGTGTGCATACGCATCCGACTGAGAAGCTGATTGTAAGCGCGGGGTTGGATCGCACGATTAGGCTTTGGAGACCGAAGGAAGGTGAAGCAGTTGTCAATGGGGAGAAAGAGAGTGAGAAGGTCGATGGGGATGGAGAGGGAGAGGGTGTAAATGGGATCAAGCGGGAGGAGACGAATGGATTTGATTCTGATGTTTTGCCGCCGAACCCGTTTGCTGAGGGCTGAGAGGGGCCAATCAAACAGCGGTCTGGGAATAGCCAAGAAGAAGATGAAAAGATTTGAATAGGATGTGGTGTAGTTTAGATACCCAAGTAACTAGCGTTCGATTGCTAGCACAGATTCTCCCTGGTCCTGTTGTCCGTAAATCGTTAAGGATCGAAACGCCTCATGCTTTTTGGTATACCCCAAACGCCTCCCATGCTGCGAACAAAATCGCGTCAAGTCAAAAGAAAACGCCATGAAAATGCACTACCACCATCTTCCCTTACTTCCCCCGTCACATCCACTCATCTAACTGAAATGTATACCCTCTTGGTTGAAAGCATAGAGTAGCTTCAAGAAATCCCCTTCATCACACAACCGCGCCCGCTTATCCGCCAACTGCGTCTCATCTTCCAACACCTTCCTCACCTTCTCCCTGACCAACTCGCTCAACCTCCCCTTCCTCTTCCTGTTCACACCATTGACCCTCTTCTTGCTCTCCGCCTGGAGTTGTTTGAAGAAATCAGGGAGCTCGTCGTCGGGATCGTCGGGGTCGGAGAAACCTTTGAATTCGTCATCGAGGTCCATGTCCGCTTCGTCGTTGTTGTCTTCCGTGATCTCTGAAGGATCGACAGGCGAATCATCAACGGCAATATCGTTCTGCGCACACCACAACCGATAATTCCCCCCTAGCAGTTCCAATACCGCCGCCGTACCCAAAAAACTCGCCCTCAACGTCCTGTTCTTCCGCACAAAACATATCCGGAGCAATCCATCCCACTCCTCATACGCAATTTGCGGCCGTGGGTTCTTCGGCTCGATACGCACAACGTTGCTCTCGACCTGCGGCGGCGGGTTGAAGTTGTTGCGGCCTACTTTCATGACGTGGGAGACTTTACTCCACATCTGCACGTTGACGGAGAGACGGGAGTAGAGTTTCTCGCCTGGACGTGCGAAGAGGCGCATGGCGAATTCGCGCTGAAACATGAGGATGCAGCAGCGGGGTGAGTGGGCGAGGGCGAGCAGTTTGAAGACCAAGGGTGAGGAAATTTGATAAGGCGTGTTGCTTATGCAGACGTCGAAACGAGGTAGTTCGGCTTTTATCACATCGCCCAAGCGTATCGTCAATCGCTTCTCCTCGGGACTGCCTTGGACTCGTTTTGTCAATTCGGCGGCCATACGGGGATCCATTTCTACGGCTGTTACTTGTTTGGCCGCCTTCAAAATCAAGACTGTCAAGTTTCCTGTTCCCGGACCCACTTCGAGGACGTGATCGGATTGTTTCAGGTGCGCTTTTTGGACGATGGCGGTTGCGACACCGGGGTTTTTCAAGATGTGCTGGCCGAGGTCTTTGTCCATCTTAAAGATTGAGTGCGCGGCGGAGGCTTTTGCGGAAGTGGCGGCGGGGCGCGCGTAGGGAGAGGCATCTTTGTCCGCGCCTTTGCTGCGCTTTTGCTTTGCTTTCGGCATGGTGGGTGGTTGTGGGTAGGTCTGATGCGGTCGAGTGGCTTTTTCGTTGACGGAGAGAGATCGCGCGAGATCTGAGTAGTGCTGCGACGAGCTCGAGCGTGTAGGCTTGGCGGGTGTGGGTACTGGCCGAACTTGCGATCGATTGGTGTGGGCTGTTGGATCTGGCGACGATAATTTTTGGTGTTGCAGAGCGGATTTACCGCGGGGTTAAGACATGTGAGCGCGCGACTAGCGTAGTCGCGTTCACCCTATGAGTTCCATGACGTTGATGCGAGTTCCGACGCATTCTCATGGTAGTTGCGCAAATTCTACTATTCGCGTATGAGACACAGTTTCGCGAAGCAAGCCTTCAGTATCCTGTTTTCATCCCCTTGTCACTCTTTCAAAGCCACCACAAACAGTCGTTGCCTCCTGAAATACCCATCCTTTCCGACGCGCTCCTTCCTCAGCAACCCCAGCAATTGTAGTCACTATCAGCATCGCAATTACTCCCACGTGGTACCACGTGCCCCTGAGCACCTAAAAGTACAAAAGTACAGCCTATCTCGACCTTCACCCGATCCACAGTCACCTAGGAATGTTATTAGGAGTAACACCCTGATCACCTTCTCTCACCTTTACCTTCGTTGCGCGCGCCCGTTTGCCGTCTACAAAAGAAGCTTTTCAGCCTTCAACCTTCGTCGCTCCCATACCTCGCTCCTTACTACCTCGAGAGCGCCAGGAGCCTTAGCAACCTCTTTGACAAACTCTAATCAGCCTTTGGCTACAAGAATCATGGCCAGAAAGATCTCTAATGCAACCTCAGACTCATCCCTTTCACCTCCTCCCGATAACCTCATGTCAGCAACCGAAGCCGCCATCGTCCCCCAGCCAGCAGACAGTGGCAAGAAACGAAAGGCCGAGACAACACCACGCACAAAGAGGACTAGAGCACAGCAAGTCGACGTCGAAGATGCTGTTGATGGTGTCGACGAGTCGCCTCGACCCAAACGTCGCGCTACCAAGAAGATAAAGGTCACAGAAGAAGTGGAAGATGAAGTCATGGCCCAAGAGAGCGGTGATGGCGAGGGCAAGTCTAAGAAAGCCGTCTCAAGACGTAACAAGACTGCCGCTACGAAGAAAACCGTAGCTGAGGACGAATCAACTGAAGCCGAAATTGATGCTCAAATTGAGGTCAACGCAGATGGGGATGACAAGATCATGACCAAGGTCTCCGTTAAGAAGACCACACGAGGCAAGAAGAGCAAGGCTAAGAACGAAGAGAGCGACCATGAAGACAAGCCCAAGCCCAAGCCCAAGCCTAGGTCAAAGGGCAAAGGCAGTACAGCAAAGATCTTACCACCACTTGCAGATCGCACCAAAGACTCTAAGCATCTGATTGGCGCCCACGTCAGCTCCGCCGGAGGTTAGTCCATATCACACTCTCATCTGCTGTTTCCGAAGACCACTGGCTAACATGGACTCGACAATAATCGTTTAGGTGTACACAACTCCATCATCAACCTTGTATATATCGGGTATGTTTTCGACTTTCCACACTCACCATCTTGAGTCATCGCTAACATCTACAGCGCCAATGCCTTCGCTCTATTCCTGAAGAACCAACGCAAATGGGAAACCATCGAGATGGATCCAGAACATGCTGCGCTTTTCATTCAGGGCTGCAAGGACCATGGCATCAACGCTGCGGACTGCTGTCTGCCCCACGGTTCCTACCTGGTCAACCTTGCTCACCCCGATCCCGCTCGCAAGAAGCAGGCCTACGACTCCTTCTTCAACGACTTGACACGCTGCCATGCACTTGGCATCCGGTATTACAACTTCCATCCTGGAAATGCCAATGCCACCACTCGCGAGGAAGGTATTCGCATCATCGCCGAGAATCTCAACCGAGCACATGCAGATCCGGCGACTGGTAGCGTTGTCACTGTACTTGAGACAATGGCAACTCTCGGCAACACTATTGGAGGTACATTCGCTGACATCGCCGCGATCATTAACCTCATCAAGGACAAGAGTCGTGTTGGTGTTTGCCTAGACACATGTCACGTCTTCGCCGCCGGCTACGATCTCCGTTCCCCTGAAGCCTTTGCCGCGACTATGGGCAAGTTCGACCAGGAGATCGGGCTAGAGTATCTCAAAGCCTTCCACGTCAACGACAGCAAAGCCCCACTGTCTAGCTTCCGCGATCTCCACGCCCGCATCGGCACCGGATATCTAGGCCTCCAAGCCTTCCACAACCTCATGAACGACGAGCGCTTCCACGGCCTCCCCATGGTTCTCGAAACACCCGTAGATAGCGTCGATGCCAATGGCAAGAAGACCGAAGACAAGGGTATCTGGGCACGCGAGATCAAGATGCTCGAGAGCCTCGTCGGCATGGACAACACCTCCGACGAGTTCAAGCAGTTGGAAGCAAAGCTTCTAGCCGAAGGCGCCGCTGAGCGCGAGCGCGTCGGCGATCAAGTCCAGCGCAAGGCGATCAAGGACGCGAAGCCTAAGAAGAAGCGCGCTACTAAGAAGAAGGCGGAGAGTGAGGAGGATGAGGAGGACATGGAGGAATGAGAAACAACCACTTGAGTACGTCAAGTAGTGCCATCAGAAGGGATGGGTGGCGCGTGAACTATCTTACCCCCGGGGTAACTGTTCCGGCTCTGGTGTCATCCCTTTGATCGTCTGGTGGAAGATGGGCACGGGGCTGATGAGAGCAGGAGAAAAGTGCTTTGCAGATGCGTTGATTTGAGTTGATTTTGGCTTCGGCCGTTTTCGTGCGATACCCCAATTTCATTGCATGGAAAGCATCTTCGTTGGGGGGATGCTGGGTATATACCATACGGAGTCACAAGACACATATCATGAACGGTCAATAGTTCTGACAAGGCGTACGTAACTGCACTGCAAGTTGCTTAGGCATCACTTGGCTCCGCGACATGCATCGGCACGCCTTATACTACGGTGTACCCTGTGGACTGACTCCCTAGTTGGGTCACCGAGATGCCGAGCGCGGGTGCCGAGAGCTTGTGTGTGCCGATTTAACTTGTAAGGCGTAGTGCGTAGGGAAGCTTACTTTGCGTTCCGTTAAGCTAGTGAGCTCGATGACTGATTAGGCAAGAGGGATGGCCAAGCTTACCTGTGCCCGAAGTTTGTAGGAATTGGGGGATTCGATTTGTTCGGAGGGATCTCGGGGAATTGTGGGGTTGTGGTCAGTGTATGGGAGCAAGGCTTCACTTTGCTCAGGTCATGAGAAGACGCGTGGAGGCTTGGGTAGCATTCGCATGGAGGATTGCACCCGGTGACACATTTGCCAATATCTGAAGAGTATCCGAGCGAATGTCTCATGTCGTTGAGATGCTACTACTGCACACTGATGGAAAAGATGATGCCCAGGTGTACGGTGAAGCAGCCACACCAGTATCACTTGCAGTCCACGCTGCACGTAGTGAAGTAACATGAAGTAGGAACAGTAAGAGGAACACAAGCCACAGTTCCGGCTCACTGGCCAGATACAGAGGAATACTGATGCTTCTTGGAGGGTTCAAGGCTTCTGGCGTGGGAGGATCTATTTCGGTTCTAGCGGCTTGGCGTTCCCTATCACTCACCAGGGCTTGCAGTCCAGAGTCTGCCTTTCCGTCTCTTCTCTACACAAGCTGCATACGCGGTCTGACGACATGTGTAACACACTCGGCGAGCATGTCTGCGACCACTCAGAGCACACTCATCATACAACTGTGTGCGTCGCGTCCCGGACTCATATAAAGTCTGACCAATCAACCCCACCTTTCGTCCAATCTAGCTTGATCAGGTTCCATTTCGCGAACACGTGGGGTGACGAGCGTCTTCTTCAGCCATCCGTCCACCGCTAGATCAGGGTGCAGAACATTGACCCCTGTGGACCTAAGCCTCGCCTGCAGCCACGGTATGGAACTTCCCCGAGACGCCTGACGGAGGCAGGCAGTCTGCATACATCATACACAGCATTGTTCGGCAGCCATATGGCCACTGATGTGCGTTGACAGCAAAGGATCCAGCTCCAGCTTCTCGTAGTCCTATCTATTTCTACGTCTCATCTTTGCGTCATTCATTTCGCTTGTTAGCCATCCTTGGAAAGTGCAGTATTGTGGAAGTATGGTTGGTGTTCCGAAAAGCACTGGGTGCCTCATCTGCCGCAAGAGGAAGATTAGTAAGTCGTCTGTGGCCCTCTTCCTTGCGGATAACGCCTGACTAAGGACAGAGTGCGGTAAGGCTAGCTCCACAAGAACGCCCCGACTCAACCATTCTGACTAGTGACGATCAAGACGAAAGTTGGCCAACCTGTTTAAACTGCCAGAAGAATGGAAAGCAATGTCCAGGAGCCCCCGCGCGACACACGTTCAGAGATCTCGGGCATAGGCTGAGTGGAGGCGCCACGCACTCCTCTGTAGAAGAAACTGCATCACCAGGTAAGCTGATATTCAGTGCACACGACTATGATCCTGATTCTGTCACAGATCCGGACAGGCAATTAACGCAATTGAATGAGAAGTTTGCCGACAATGGGTCCGTCACCCACAAATTCAGGATATCGAACAAGAGTTCAACGCCTCGGAAAAGGTCTCCACGATCAAGTTCAATCAGCTCAAGTCCACCGTCACCCTTTCTAAGACAGCCGTCGCCATCGCAGCATCAACAACTCGCGCGCTCCTTAATCGCAGCTACCACAACAGGCAGTACTGGGCACCGCATGTCCGTGTTTGGTCCTTTCATCCAAGAAGTACCGGCTAGGATTGGACACAACGCTGCTCTCGATGCAGCAGTTACCGTACTCGTCAACGTCCATACCTCGCTGGTCTATAAGAAAACTGCAGACGAGATCGTTTCGCCAGAGTTGTATATCCGGGCAATCAAAACGCTCCAGGGATGCCTCGAAAATCAGCAATTAGGCATGTCGCCCAATACCCTCTGCGCATCAATACTTCTTGGTCTTGTAGAAGTAAGTCTTACCTGGTTGAGCTTGTAGCCATACTAATATTCCCAGGCTTTTGCAGGTCCAAGAACAGGCAACCGATACTTGACGCACGTAGGCGGCGCCGGACGATTAATGGAATTACAAGGGCCTTCTAGATATACCGACAGTTTCACGAAAGAGATGCTGCGCTTCAATAGAGGCGGAATAGTAAGTCGACCCAAGTCACGATGATGTGGTTAAGACTCAGGCATACACAAGAAAGCTAGCTCAAGACTAATGCATTGGCAGATTATTACGTGCATATACGAACGAAAGCCATGTTTTCTCACATCACCTGAATGGCGAGAGATCGCTTTCGACAAGACCGGGCTCAGTTTCGATGACTGCCTGAATACCGACTTGATGCAATACATGGCCGAGTTGCCTGGTATCTTCAATACGCTGAAAGAGTTGGACGAAACTTGCATCCTGCAACCGCCCCAAACTACGAGCTTTGAGTTCAGCTCCAATGGCGAACTGTATAAACCGTTGATCGACACGCCCCCATCACTCGACTTCTCCACCGACTCTTTCGACGATATCGACTTCCTAGAAGACATACGGCCGGTCAAAACAACATATCCAATCAGCGCAAACCCATACACATCTCAGTACGAATCTGTACGGACAACACTTCTGTACAAGGTATATGAACTCAAAGACGCACTCCGCAGTCTAGGCGAACACATGAACACGAAGCTCACAAATGGCATCGCTGTCTCGGAAACACAGGCAAGAGAAAAGAACAGTCCCGTACAAACAACCTACCACTTCAACAACTGGCGCGACATGACCGCCTACAACTGCTTCTGGTCCGTCATCATCCTAACAAACAAAGTCCTAATGCGCCTCCTCCCACCCTTCGACCAAGCACGCTATGAACTCCAATGCGAATGCCGCTGCGCCGCCGTCGAAATTTGCAAAACATGGGAGGATGCATGGGCCAGCAGACCGATCGGCGCGTTTCACACTGGCTTGAGCTTTGTCGTTGCATACGAGTTCTGCACACCGGAAGTCCAGGCATGGATAGTAAAGAGTTTGAATTCTCTTCTGGATTATCATCAGGTCGATGCGTTTCGTTGGTCCGACGAGGTTATTGTTAGTATGGCGGAGAAACTTGCTGGAGAGGGGCCGGCGGTTGCGTTTTCGAATGTTAGGGTTGAGGGGGAGGGGCGCTGAATGGATGGTGTTACTATCAAGTTTGCATGCATTCGGACTACCGATTTTTCAGAATTGTATTCCATTACTGATACCCAATAGAAAACGAGTTTGAGGAACATACAAAAAGAACACAACGAACATTGCCAACGGTTTCTTAACTCCGTGCCTCTTATTCGCCGCTCAGCTCTGTGTCACCACAGTACCAGTGCCTTGCGTCAATACACTAACAGAGCTCTGCTGACTGACAAACACAACCAGGACGGCCGAATATGCTGCCGTAGCTGCTATGATTTCCTTCCTTGCTGCATCTGTAAAAAATCCCAACCATGCAGCAAAAGCCAACACGAACCCTGTGAGTGTAGCCAATTTGGCAACCATGTGGTCTTCCAGCCGCCACAGAATCCAAATGGGGGCTATAAGGTAGATCATCGATATAACTGTGACTACAAACGTGATGAAGCGTTGCATCTTTTTCTCGTTGATATACTTCGCTTTCAGAGATGACTCGGGTGTCTGTAATTGTGAGCAAGAAGAAGAATAGTAATGGACATAGGAGATGCAGGACGCATACCAGGAAGAAGGGCCAAAGGAACTTATCAAAAAAATTGGATGTGTAGGGGTCGTTCTCAGGAATGGTGTGCAGACTGATAAGATCTGAGAACGCTCTGCAGCAGTCTTCGCCGCCGAAGATTCGTTCTTGATACTTCAGTCTATGACCCCACCATCTTTTATTATCGTGGTATGTCGGATTAGAAACGAATCGATCGATTGCATCGACTTGTCGTCCAGCAGGGGGCTCAAGCTGCAGAACCTGACTGTAAGCGATCAAAAGATCATCTATAACATATCTCAGCGTCCTTTTACACTCAACCGGATGTTGAACAGCCTCATACAGTATTCCTTGATTGTGGTACCAACACGGTCACCGTAGTCTTCGCTCTCGGGTTCTTCCAGATCCCGTCCATCATCCATGCACGCTTCATGTTTCTTCTCCATACTTCTGAGTTCTCTACTCAAGAGGAGTATTCGGTATATGGCTAGCTTGTCATATCTTCGGAATATCGCGCCAGCTTTGCTGGAGTCATTTCCCAGGAATTCGGCAATGAAATGGGGATCTTCTCTCAAATGCTGGCTCCTGGATCGGACGTCCCTAAACTGGTCCATTTGATTGGAGTCCTCGGGAATCGCGTGAGGATCTCGAACAGGTTGCACTTCCGCTGGGATTCCCGCATTGTCACACTGGGCGACAGACATAGGCGGACTGGAATTTGGGACGCTGAGGGGAATGGGGACTAATATTAAAAGTCTAAAAGAGCTTGTTCGCAGCTCTCAGTGAGGTAAAGGCGCTTAGTAGTCTTATCACTTCAGCCTGGAAGGTGTCTACGAGGCCGTCGTCTATTTTGCCCATACCTGGTTAACCTTGGTTTTCAGCTCTGGAAGCAAGCTCTTGTTTGTAGCCAGTGAGCGTCCGCGGAGGTCAGCCACATCAGCCTCCAAAAATCATTTAGGTCTAGATTCAGTTGCAAAACAACCTTTTCAATGCATACTATAGGAGCGTTGCCGCAATAGTTATCGTAGGCTGAATGATCGTCTTCGCTCGGGAGATCCACCTACTTCGATCTCCTCCCCATTGTCTACGACAACACACACCATCGAACACTCTACAACAAGAACCAATCGTCTGAACATCCTTCCAGGGGCTTCATTATTTGTTTCTCAATACTCTTTCATTGCGCGGATTCGCAGTCCACACAAGGCTCCAAACTTGCTACCAGTCCTCCGCACAATGGCCACACCACTGGAGGCCTCCATCAAGACACCGCGAAGACAGTCAACATCCGACGCATATGGCCCTGATGATATACACCATCGACCTCCAGGAGCACGGCATCATGAGAGACCGCACCCAAACAACGGAAAGAAAAAGATGATTAAGTGGCTCAAGTTTTGGGAGAGAGATGGTAAAAAGAAGAATGGGGGAGGTTGACGAGCGTGGATTATAAAGGCTACTATACCTTATACAAGAAAAGAATTGAACAGGTACGCAGACTACATCAGAACAGAAACATGCAAAGTGGGGAACTTAATGATGATATAGGCTCTAGGGTGTTTACTTTCTTCCTACGTTAACGGCACAACCTGTTATTTGTCATGTGCAATTGAATGGGAGAGATAGGATTAACGGCCACGGAAGAATTGGTGGTTAGATGATCGGTCACTCGCCGGTGCTAGTTACTCGCCCGTAAGGTACGTTGTAAGTTATGTCTCTAAAGCTACATGTGTTTTCTCTTTCTTATCAACACCTAGCCACAATAGATCAGGTCGGCTATAATGGCCACAAACGTCCAAGAAACTTTTTGCCTTCAAAATATCATCAAGCTGCAGTTCCGCGTAAATAAACCCCTCTTCTGTCTCTGGAGGACCATCAGCCACCAGGCGCCCATCGGGGCCAAAGATAGCTGAGCTACCTCCACCAGGGGTATTCATGGTGAGGCCAGAAGCTGTCCGTAGTGTAGCGATGCCTGCCTCACTCATTACCGCTGTAGTATGTAAAACAAAGGATTGCGACTCCATGGCGTAGACTTGAGAGAGGCTGCGGGCACCTGGTTACCAACAACATTAGTTAAGGATTATTATGGTCGTATACAATATAGTACCGCACCTTCTTTGCTCATGGAATACAAGTCTGGACCGCCACTGTGTTCATACAGCGGCGGCCACGCAGCAACATGTATACTTTCTCTTTGATGGTAAGTGTGGTATTTAAGTAGTGGTTGCGTGTGCTCCCAGCAAGCCAGGGCACCAACACGTCCAACGTCTGGCAGCTCCACGACGTTGTGGAGAGAAGAGCCAGATGCATCTCCAAATATCGTCCTCTCCATGTGCGTCGCTTTCAGCTTCCGACGCATGACTTCAATACTACCCTCGGCATTTATGATAGCTTGTGAGATATAAAGCGAGCCTTTGTAGTTCTCGCTGAACCCAAGCACAACGGCAATGTGGTGGTCTGCAGCACTCTGACAGATGCGGCGCATCTCGATTGAGTCTACTTGCAGAGAATTCTTCATGTAGGCTGTTGAGAGCTCGAAGTCTACGGGCCTTGTCCTGGCACTACATATCAGCATACTTTGGAAATCTACGAAGAACAGCTGTATTCGCGAACGTACCAAATCCAGGCAGGATAGCCTGGAATCCAACATTCAGGGAACGACACAAGTTTTGCGCCGTTTTCTGCTGCCTCGCGGATCAAGCGGCAGGTCTTCTCGACAGCCTTTTGCAAGTCAAGCCATGCTGGCTCGAACTGAGCGACAGCAACGTAAACAGTGGATGTTGGCTGATGTGACATGATGTGGACAGTGTGTGTTGAGCATAGAATAGTGAAGGCATCTGACTATGTTGTATTTCGAAGAGGGTATTTATTGCGGAATTACAAAGGACAGTACAGCTTACTTTCGCATTAGCGACGGAATTACTGCAGCCGCCAGACAGGTGAGCACAAAGCTACAGAGGTGTACCAATCTTATATAGCAATATGAAAGGCGGGGCTCCTGACTGCTAGCAACGGAACCTTTCCGCTAGATAGCCAAGACACGTCCAATCAGGCATCTCGGCGAGCTTCGAAGTCGACGTATCTCTAAACCAGCAACCTTATCTCTGGTTTCGGCGTTTCTCTGTTGATAGACGGTCATCTTGATGCAAACAGACGCATGATGTGACCGAAACAATGCTAAGCCGCGGACATATTGCTCTGCAACTGCCCCAATTGCTCGGGTGATGAGTATCACATATACCTGGGTGGTTCCCGAACAGACTGCACTGCTCTTCCCGCTCTTCTCCTCTATTCATCGACTCTATTCCAAAAATCTCAATGCCGTTCTTCATTCTTGAGCCTGCCAACGGCACGTTGCGGCCATCAGGTACAAGCGTCATTCAGGATCATGCGCGACACCGCAGGTGTCCTCGATTCTGACAGATGCTGGCAGTATTCAGGCAGCAATACAGACTCAGCTTTCGACCCAGCTCCCAACGCTTCGTTGCGCGATCTTATGGCTTCCTAGCTATTCGCGATTAAACTGTCTGGTTTACTGCGATATTCGCTTCGACATTAGGTAATTTTCTAATGAGCTGTTATTAATCTCTGGCACATCTTTGATTGCTCATAAAGACATGCAGACTGCCCAGGTGGTCTTTGAGCCGTCTAGCTTTGCGCCCATCTAGCGAGATTCGCATATATTTCAGCAAATCCAGAACCGGGTCTTTGTATGAGGAAAAATATGGATGAAGCAGCGAAAGTCGCAATCACGGGAAACCCCCTGATGCAGCTACCGTGTTTGAAGATACCTTTGACTTTCGTGGATACTACCATTGCGAAGCGCAGTGAAAACGAGAACCGAACAAGTCCGGTGATGTGACCCGTGTTGAGCCAGTGGCATTTGCCGATTCCTGTCTGTTCGGGAAACGCTACTGTACCGCCCAAACGGGGGTCGAGGAGGGACTGCTACCAACCAATCATAGATGAGATAGTGTTAGAGGCAACAACATAGCAAGGACACCATCTCAACATCGTTCAGACATTATGTCACGTCCTCAACATTGTATTCATACCATCTCATTCTTGATTGGTTGGTAGCAGTCCCTCCTCTACTACCCCCCATGGCGCGCTACGGTACGAGTAACGCACAGACATGTCAGACTTGCGAAATCCTACGGAAGGCCTTACCGCAGCCAAGCTACAAGGCAGTCGGGCTCAGCGAAGGGATGTCAACCTTCACCTTGCTTGCTTCCACCATGGTGGCTTTCACACCCATCTCTAATTCACTCGTTTACACGCTGCTGAAGTCTTTGCGATCGTTATAGACTTACACAATATTTGAGTATTGGACGTGCAACATACTACACAACACTTCCACTGTGGGCTATCTGGGCTTCGCGTGCAAGATGAGAAGCGAAGCCGTCTCCGGACAGGAATTGGCAGAAATGAGGTCAGTCTCGCCCGTGTCAGAATCTAGACCTAGATTGCTCATACTGAAGCTCCAGCCATACAACGGGCTTGCTGAAAAGCGACTATGCGAGTGTCAATTCGCGCGATGAAACTTCTGGCGATAACAGTCATAATGCGAATGAGATCGAATTGGAAGACAACTCCGCCCCATCGCAGGTAAAGCTCCGCTTTCTCATGCGACAGTTCCGGTTTCAATTCGCTTCCTCGACGTTTTCTCGATGTATGGGCTCTCGTTGGAACGGAGATACCGAACGTCGCAAAGTAGCCATCCATCACAACAGGGCAGTCGCTGCAGTGCATGGTTTACTGCACGTTGTTCCTCTGTCTGGCGCCATCTTACTGCTGGTATTTCAATGGACGAATTATTGGGTCGATGAGAAGAACGATTACTCAACTGAATTGCAGTTCGCAGCAAAGTTCCACGAGCTACTCATGCAGGCATCAATCGTCGAGGTTCTACTTGGCCTTATTCGTGCAGGTCTCATCAACGGCCTTGTTCCATTCGGCACTTTATCAGGCGCTATGCAGCCAACTCAACTGTCTTATCTATGGTCACTGGATTTCTTCTCCCTCTTTCTATCTCGTGCATTCCAAGGATGGCGAAAGACAGTCTTCGTGGTCGCTATACCCTTCTTGTTCGCTTTGACAGCGCTGGTTGGACCTTCAAGCGCTGTCCTCATGATCCCACGTGCGGGTATTGCACGCACTTCTTCACACCGCCAACTCTGGGGAGTAGCATCTGACGAAGCTTCGTATCCTTCTCAAATTCCCATTACAAGCTTTGACTCGTATGTACCTCGGCCTAAAGAAACATCAAGTACTAAACTACAAGCAGTGACATTCAAGGGCTGAATTCAACCCTATGGTACTCCGACGTATACGAAAATCGCGGATCTTATGCGTCAAATACCATCCCTCATTTTTCCGAGAGAACATTGAACTTAAAACGACTCCTACGGTGGTCCTCCGATGGGCTCGATTGGCGCAACCCCGACAAGATCGGGGGTACAATAGTTCGAGAGGCTAATGTCACAATTCCGACAGAAGTTATACTTAGTCAATCGGAACTACAGGGCATGGGAAATACGACGCTAACTGTGGTGGCTGCACACCCGGTTGTAGGAGCGCAGTGCTGGGGATCCGTTTATGACATCAATAACAGCAGCGATTGGTATCACCCCTGGCCGTGGACATCACTAATGGCTGATCTTCCCACGTTGATCTCCAAAGTATCGGATACTGTTGAACTGTCCGCCCCCAAATATCGAGGGGGTGAGAATTACTCCACTGATGTCTACTTCAGTCCGGTCTGGATCTCATCACCAGAGCCAGCAGACCACCCATTGCTCGTAGTGTTCTTCCAGGGTAGCACGAGTGAAACATGGAATCAATCCACACTGGTCAAGCCTGGTCTGCTGTCGTCAATGATCGAAAGCAAAAACCCTGCTGTGACCGCCTCTGTAACAGCATGTTCACTTTCTGCGTTTTGGGCCTCTGGCGAGGTGCAAACGCGCTACAACGAAGCATTCACACTGGTCGCTACGGGTCAATCGTCAACAATGGAGCAATCCGCACACCGGAAGATCACGCTGGACATTGCTGGTGATCACCCAATGCAAAGCGCGAAATTCTATTCTGCCCTCATGGGAATGCTCAAGACAAGACACCTCGGAGGCTTTGGGCGAGAAGGTATACTAGCTGCAGCTTTGGTGATCTGGATCGCCAAGGTACCAACGTCGGTATCCGTGAAACAGTCGGAATGGCGGGACGCTTCCTTTTTCTCTGAGTTCCCACCAGAGAAAAACATCGAAGACTATACTCCCTACAAGTTCCTCGTCACACAATATGGCTACGGCTATGGGATGCGATCAACTTCTGTCTATCTGTCCATGACGGTGCTGCTTCTGTACTGTGTTGTTACTATTGGCTACATGCTATATACATTCGCCACTGGTTTAGCCTCAACAGCTTGGACTTCCGGAGCCGAATTACTTGCACTTGCGCTGCAGTCAAAAAGGCCAGATCATCTGGGTTACACTGGCGTCGGAATCGACTCCGCCAAGACTCTAGGTGAAAGTGTTGGAATCCGAGTCAATACAGACAATGAAGTTGAGCTAGTGTTTGCGCAAGATCGGGACTTTAACACAAGAGGATTGCAGAAAGTTAAACAGAATACAGAGTACTAATATATAATATATTAATAGAAGGGACTTGTATGAATTGTGTATCGCCTACTGGTAGTCAACACAGGTCTAATATAAGATCTAACAAGAAAGAAAGCAAGACAAAGTTAGCTAGAAGACAGAAAACACAAAGCATTTTATTGTTATTCTTTTCTATTATATCCTGGGTCAGATGTTGGTCTCGAGTACCACAGCCTGCATACATACATCGATCTGATGAAGAAGGATGATGTCTTGGAGATTCCGACTGAGAGAGGGCCAGCTCAGTAGAACACCTGCTCTAATCTGCTAGTGCTCATCGCTCCAGGTACCGCATTCTCTTTAAACCATTTCTACCTTCTCTGTCAAGCTAGTCATACCTCGCCGACGTCGTAGGATATATCATACCACCCAGCAGCGGCCCATCCGCGGGTGACAGCCCAACTGGTTACACACATCGGCAGGAAGGAGCAGTATGTCTTACTTATATCTGACTTGCATGCAGCTACCGGCGATGCGTCATCAACTCTACGCTTACTGTGGGGGCGAAAGACTACCTAGCTCTCACATCGTGGTCCAGACGCTGACCCGTTTCTCCACGTGTGGACCGTCCCATCGGTACAGGCAAGCCACAGCGGCTATTATACAAGACATCAGTCTTCCATCGGTAGAAGTCGTGTTTCTAGTGCCAAGGAAGGCCAACGCACTCATGGCCCTGATCGAAGCCCCTTGCCAGCTCCGGGCGCCTTACACATCAACTTGGCTATGTTATGTCGCCGAGGCACCCGCATCCTGGTCCCCACTACAAGGGCGGGGTGACGGCCCGCAACACGGTCTCGTAATCTACATGCACGATCGATGCAAGATCTGACCAGGACGAAAGGAAGCAAGGTGAAGTTGGTCAGGATGCAGAAAACAAGAAGCTTTTTATTGTTGTTCTTTTCTGTCATATCTAGGTATGCATGCATCATGACATCATGTTTAACATCGAAACCGAGAAAGCAGTAGTAAACTCGAAAAAACCCCACAGCTTGCAAACGCAAGAGCAAAGCGAATGCGAAAAAGTTAACCCAAACTTCAGCAAAGAAGCAAAAGGTAAGGGGAAGAAAATAAACAAAGCCGTTGCAAACGTCTGCGCCACACGCGCTACTGCCGCAACGACAGTAGCCAGTGCGGCACAGCCCTAGTCTCCACTAACCCAACTGGATGCCTTACATCTGGATATTGCACTTCTTTTTGCACTCCGCGGATCCGATAATAGCTCCAGTGCCCACTTCAGGGATCATTCCACCAACACTGGCGGGGTTGAAAGACGCGTCGCCGAAGCCAGCGCTGATGATGTCTTGAGGGACGGACCAGAGGCTGGGTAGGATGTTGAGGGTACCGCTGTCGTCGCTGTTGAGCGCACTGAGGAGGAGGGCGGGTTCGCAGTCTGTGGGTGTGTGTGGTTAGTAAGATTTGTATACGGACATGGAGTGCGTAATCAAGGTCCGGATGATATGCAAGGGCCGTGCCTCAGATCTTGAGGCTGAGAGCCGCATCCCCGATCGGGTAATAGATAGACGGGGATGTAGAAGGGGCGGGGGAGAAGACATACCATTGTTCTGCATCATATGCAGACTTCCCTGCGGGAAAATAGTAACACGCATGGGAATCATATCCACCTTGCGTGTCTTAACGCCATTCTCGCCAATCATGTAAGTCGTCGTGTTACCCGTGATGGCAGTAACCAAGTTGGTAGCCCTAGGGTGCAGATGCGGTGGCAGCATACCACAGGGAGCCAGCTTAAGGAGAGCCATGCTGGAGCCGAGGCCAGTCAGAGCAGGGAAGCTGGCAGCATTGGCGTTGATGACAGCGCCAGTGGGCGAGTCATAGTTGGAGCTGGAGTCGAAGTCGAAGTACCAGTCTTCATCGGCGGGGAGAAGAGCATTGCGGTCGAAGTTTGTGGCGGCCATGCGGAGGGCAGCGTTTAATTCGGGGTTGACGGTGGAAGATTTGGTGTCCGCTGCAGTGATGAGGGTGGGGAGGAGGGAGGTGAAGAGGAGGATGATCTTGGTGAACATGGTGATGGTGGTGGTGGTGGTGGTGGGGGTTTGTGAGGTTAGGAGGGAAGGTTTGGAGCGTAGGGTGTTGGAAGAGCGAGTGCTTGAGATGTTGAGACGATGGGTATATGGTTTTATATACCAACGATTGAACAACAGGACGTGAAGTTGGCAAGTGGGGCTGGTAGATCTGGGAAGCTGCAAGGCAATCGATCGTATCGGCAAGGGTAGAGAGACGGAATAAGGCGTGCTGACTTTGGGGCTGAGTTGCGACGATGGGTAAATTGTAGTAAGCAAATGGTGGAGTTTATCGACTTCGATGCCGTCCATCCAAGTCATGCGTGCAGACTTATATAGATCAGGCGGCCGCATGGAAGGCTGGGACTCGCTGCTGTGGAGAAGACGAAGGGCCAGGGCGTGTTCGGTAGACTGGACTGCTGACCGCTCTGTCTTGCTCATCGTCGTAGGCTTTCAAGCCACTGTTACTCTTGCCCGGTGGAGGCGTCGCTAGAAAGGTTGATCGGTCATTGGAGCGTTCCTGACTATGGAGCGCCATTCCCACCCAGCTTGTGTCGTGACCAGCTGTCAAAAAATCCTCTTTCGAACCGCAAATGTTCGTTGATGGCACTGTTGCTTCCGGCGGGCGGAGCTGGTGATTGCTGCATACAACGCATCGTGAAGATTATGCGAGAAGCGGTCCGACCCCGGATGTTGCGCTTCTGTAAGACACCTAGGTACATAGGTACTTCTGACTTGCCTGCAAACCCGGTTTACGGATCGATGCTTGAGACTCGCACCATGTGTGTGGCCGCATTGGACCAGTGACCGGGGTCAACATAGCGCGTGGCGTAGCTTAACTAGAACAAGATGCGATAGATTGCTACGCTGAGTTCCTCAACTGTTACTGGTAAGTTGCAGCTTTTGTGTAAACTCACTTGTAACGGAAGTGGTCGTAGGCGTGTGATGGAGGAAGTTCCATCACATGCTCTCTGTTGATACGACCTCTACTTGGGAAGAGACACCGGTTCAGTGTAACAAATTGAAGCTTGTGAGCCTTTCTTGGGGGTCATAGAAGTGCTGTTGGGGATGAGTGGGTCCAGGGTGGTGCTGCATATCAGTCAATGGTTGTAGACCTTGTACTGCCCAACACTATTCGAGCTGCCATGAAGCGGAAAAATGCATCGAAACCTGACAGGCGCCTTACATCGCTTGCGTTAGGCGCCCCTTGGGTACAGGCTGGCTAAAGACGCCACAGTTCTACCGAACGAGGTGGAGCTTAGTCAAGATTGTTGGTGGAGGAACGTCGATATTCTTAGTGACACTGTCGCACTAGGAGATTGCGCCATTGGTCGTTCAAACGCTAAGCCTCGACCAACGGCGATACAGGTGTGCGTGTAATTGTGGAAGAAACACAACGCGCCAGTCACGTTGTGGCCTCGTTGCATTAGCTTTGCCGTCTTGGGCGGCTATGCTTTGGTGTGCAGGGATTGGTTAGCCCGACGCGAGTTTGAGGAAAAGACGCCCGCATCGTTGCGCAATATCTTGTGTATCTTGCTTTGCAGCTTTGAGCGTATCGGAGAAACGACTTACTATAAAGAGAGGATTCTTGGTAGTGTCACAATCGCAACGGTCCTTCCTCCAGATTAGGATCGTTCGCGGATCAAGCGCAGCAAAGCTGTATCTCTAGACTCACCGTGACACGGAACAGTTTGGCCTTTGTGGATCTAGCTCAGTGACTCATGTAGATGAATTGAAGAGTGAGAAACCGAAAGGGATAGTTTTGGGGATGATTTTAGGTCATGAATAGGTAGGAGGATTATACGCTATCCCTGGCGCCTCGAGCATCTCCGGTCGTTCCAACTGAGGGGATTCTAGTATAAATGTCAAGATTGGGGGTTCATAAGTCCGTATCGTCCCTGATTGGCCATTCAGTCCCTTCAACAAGAGCCACACTGGTGACAGCTTGCTGTCACTGTTCCGTAGTAGTGCCATCGTGATCAGCGTGATCAGTCTTATCCGCGCGCATGAGGTAGGCCATAACACCCCAGATGCCTCTCATCGCTTCGGTACGATCATCAAAATTGAACAAGTCGAACCATCTCGTTCTTTGTAGTTTTGGCGAACACCAGTCTGAGTCTGTTGGCGCTTCTTTGGGCAGTTTACCTTCGGTGATGTACTCAAGATAAGCCGGATGTATGCGTAGCTTTAACAGGCTGATGTGGTGGTTCAATGACGAAACCATGAAGACCTAGATTGTCGGATTAGCGGAATGAGCTTCCTAGAGCTGTTGCACGAATCCCTACATCGTCCCACACAGCACTCTTGTCTTTGCCGATGGCCTTATAGGTCACTTTTGGATCCCACAGTGGGTTACCGGGTCGCAGCGTTTTCCAAATCTCTGCTGGCGATGGTCTGCGGCGAGCCTTGGATCCGTCACGATTCCTGTCGGTGGGTTTCGCTTCAGGTTTAGAGGCTGCATCTTTGGACAGTATCTCGATCGCCCCAGTTGTTTCGCCAACCTCGCCCCCGGGCCCTCCACCCCACCGCTCCTTTGTAGTCCACCATCTGTCCTCGCCACCTCTCCGTTCCAGTTTCCCCTCTCTGGCTCTTTCTTGCGCCAGCAACAGCAATCCACCTAACTCGCGCACAGCATCAAGATTAGATTGCTTCTTCAGGTTTCCGGTCAGTCCAAAGCCAACGTCTGCCCTGCATTGAACCCCCAATACTGGACCTTCCATATAGCCATGTCTGGCTTTAGCCCTGTCCTGAGGTGCTTGCCAACCGACAGAGCTCATGCGAACAGGAAATCTAATGTGCTCGATTGTGAGGACGGGAGGACGGCGGTGTGGTGAGAGTGTCACACCAAAAGCCCATGCAATCGGCTCTATGAAAGCACGCACGCAATCAATGCGGTACTGATCAGGCATCTCGGCACCACTCCCGATTCGATAGCCTCGGTAAGACCCGTTTGAGAGATTAATCACCTTGTTTTGAGACTCCATATTCACAGCCCAAGGGGCCTTGGGGGGTGCAGCCCGAGCTGGGAGTATGCGGTTCGGAGTATTTGACGGCACACGTGCACTCACTGGTGCGGCGCTGGAGCCATTGGCGCCCTGGACCTCGGCTGGTCGCTGTCCACTTTCAGCATCTTCAACCTTGGCCTTCTTGCGAGGTTCCTCTTCTTCAGGCGTACGAGACCCTGGCCTCGCTGTGGACACTCGATTCGAATCAGTTTCACGTTTGGCGTCCTGACTTTGGGCATCTGTGGACGCTTGCGGGGTGCTTGAAACCACTGCCTCTCCGCTAACATTGCCAGCTTCTTGCGCTGGTGGAAGATATTCGTCTAGCGAGATATCCCAGTAATAAGCCAAGTTGTCAAGACCCTCCCAGAACTTTCGGAAATGTGCTAGTCGAAGCTGTGGTTGATCTCCAACACTCTTGCGCGTGAGTGTTGAGTAAGCATCAGCGTTCTTGAAGAGCAGTTCCCTCGCTCGGACATAGAACTCTCTCTGATCTGGCAACCTTCTGCCATTGCTCAAAAGCGTGGCCGGGGCGTCAGGACTGGATGTGGCGTCGTTCCCTCCCGGTGATTCTAACCAGGAGGTTGGGGGCAGGGACGACTCTGTGTTGTTCGGCAAGGATGATAATAATGTTTCCAAGTCACATTGGGGATGAAACGTGACATTCAACAAGGCCAAGGTGTCTTCACTCACATCAGACGGCTTCTTGAGTCGCAAAAAGTGCTCTGATATCCTTGCTCCTGGTTGGGTCCAGGTGGCTGGCAACGTGTTTATTGACGGCTCGGGCGGCTCAAGAGAAGGAAACTTGACGGGTGTCGGTTTCGAAGGTGGCGACCTCTGTTTCTGTGTATCATGCTGCCCCGCAAGTAGGTTGCCTATGAACAAGTTGTCCTATATCAGCAACAATATTGCACGTGCGCCGCACGTCTCAGACGAAACATGTGTGGAATATATACCCACTTGACTGACAGAAGCATGCCAAGTAGCTACCACAACAAGCAGCTTAATCCGAGAAGAAAGAAAACATGTATGCGTATTTGGAAGGCCATTTCAGATGCTATCGCGAACCAAGCTTCGGAATTATGTTATTGGCGTAGACTCCCGAGGTTCACTTGGAGCGGGCGGACAAGACCTTTGCGCGAGACGAAGAGACGACAGCGATTGACCGAGAACAAACCAATGAGAAGAAAACTTACCGCTGAAGCTGAACATTATCACAGAGTCGTGGTACGAGGACCGTGATGCTTAGGGGCGTGATGGAATCGGCGATGGGATGTCGAAGTCGAGCGAGGGCCGCGGATCTTCAAACCGGACGTGCGCACCCAACGCAACAACGTCTCCACACCCATCAGCAACTCTCTGCTAGAGCTTTGCGCGAGCATGCGATATTGATGCATTATATCAAACTTCAGGAAAATCAGATATGAGTATTGTGACAGTTCCTCCACAAGCCACGCGCGGCGTAGCTGGCTAGACCCCAAGAGCTTGTTCATGCGTTACCCCGAAGACGACTGTCAAGTGGTGCCACTGGGGTCAAATGAATCAAGAGATGACAAGGCAGACTAGGAAGATGCCTCTCAGCGATTTGGAAGGTGCGAGAGGTCGAATAGATGTATTTTGCATCTTCGAGTTGCTTTTGCTGTTCAGTCACGTGCTGAAGACGCCTGCCCGCCAGGTGCGCAACACCAGCACAAGCCGCCAACACTCCACTCCTTCCAACCCCATCGCGCATCGTCAAATATGTCATCGCGTCCGCCCGAATGGCTATCAGAGTGCTTTGTCGGGCGGCACGGCAGTCGGCTGAGACGGCGAGGCCGGTGCCGCTCAACTGTGCGAGGCTCAGCGCGCTTCATGTGCATTGTTCGAAGCGCGATGTGAAGCCGCCCGCGTTTCAGACGGATACAAGCGCACCATACTGTGCCAACGGTTGACTACCACCCGGCCGTTCTTCGAACGCCTACTAACATCTCTCTTCGTTAACCATTCATTCAGCATCACGTAGCGGTAAACTCCAATTTCCCAGTTTAATATGCACAAAGCGTCCGCGGCGCCTTGTATCCTTTCTCTTCGTCTCTCTTTCTGAGCCCTTGTTGGCGTTTCTTTCCATGAGCTATTGCTCGCATGGCCACCCCTCAAGAGTCCATTACGACGGTAAACGGGAGACGATGTACTCGCTCTCGGGCCCGAACGGCCCTTACAACCTCAGAGACTCCAGCAACATCCGCAGCCGCCGCCCCTCCCCAAGTCACCACGTCCACGACCGTTGAGGAGGCACCGAAAATACAGACCAGCACCAGCCAAGCACCTCCGCCACCTCCTCCCTCTTCGACGGCACCGGCACCAGCCCCGACTACGTCTACCCAGCAGACAGCACAGCAGCCCCCCGCAGTGCCTACAACATCTACGACGGAAGCAGCAGCAACATCCGCGATAGGTACGAGTAGCCCGGCCCCTACATCTTCGGAGCGGGTGACACCGCTGGCTCTCGCATCTTCAGCTCGTGCAACAGCAGCTGCTCAGAAGCAGCCAGAAACTCAAGCGGCACCGGAAGTGTTTTCTCCGGCCGCTGCGGTTCCTCTGTCTGTGTCTTCGCAAGCTGCTGCGGCTTCACAAGTTGCTGTGGCGGTGTCTTCAGCCCCGCCTCCGCCTCCAAGTCCCGTACCAACAAGTTCTGACACAGAACAAATAGCTGTTCCAACGTCACTCGTTGCATCTTCGCGCGCACCGGCTCGCTTCACAGCTCCGGCTATATCTGAAGGTGCCACATCGGACGCAAGCCCTCCGCTCGCGATAGAAACCGACACGAATGCACAGCCGTCTGTGACAGAAGCGCCTGCCATCGCAGAACCACAGCCCACTACTTCGCTAGTAGATTCCACACCGACCGGAGGATCAGCTGGCATAATTGCACCGGAACAGGGAAACTCTAGCGACAACAGTCCCTTGACTTTTGCGAATGGTGGGAACATAGGAGGCATAATTGGGGGTGTCTTCGGCGGTGTGGCTGCGTTAGCCTTGATCAGCGTATTGCTCTTCGTCTGCTTGCGGAAACGGAAGTCGCGACCGGTGCGATGGAACGAGAAGCAAGAGACAGGCCCAAGCTTCCTGGCCAGGTTGAAGACGATACCCAGCGGAGTGGGGGCATTCGTTGCCAGGATCAAAGGAAGCCAATCCGGCCCGATCAGCAATCCCTACCAACGCCATGCTGCGCAAACCAGCGTTGGTTCGGTGTACTCGAGGGACTCCAACGGCAGAGGTCGCTCGACCAGCGAGCCGCAAGGATTCTTCGGTGTCAAGCGTGCGGGCTCGAGCAACAGCAGGTCAAGCAAGAAGAGCGAGAGGAATCTGCTTCGAAAGAAGCCAAGCAGCATCTCCTCAAATTACCGGTTTCCAGGGATTGTCGAAGACACAGGTTCGCCAAATCCCTTTGCTGACCCGAAAAGTACGCTGTTGGTACTCAACCCAGATCCTCGAAGCGCGCCTGTTACACCGCAAGTCCCTGTTGCTGCTGCCGACACTGAACCCAGAGATCCTTTTGCATCTATTCAGGATCCCCCTGGAGCTGGACCAGCTTGGGCTCAAGTACCGACTCACCATCATACACGTACTATAAGCTCAGTGTCGGCCCTAAGCTCACATCCCGTGTCGTCCTTCTATACGGCCGATAACCCGTTCCGAGATCCACCTTATGCGCCGCCTGCTCCCAGTCAGGCGGTTCTACCAAGCCATACCCGTCGTTCGTCCATGGCATTGCCAAGTTTCAACGCGCTGTCCACCGTGGACGCAACCTCTACCTTCGCCTCTCGCGACTCTGACATGTTCTTCGGAGAACCAGGACCAAGCAGGCCTGCCACCAACTTCTTCACTCCAATGCCAACTGGTCGTACGGTCCGACAATCGGATCCTTTTGACCTCGACCGACCTGAAGTTCTTGGCTTTACAAGCGTCTTCAACATCAACAGGAAAGAAGTGGCCGGAAACATCACGCGACAACCTACACGAAGTAAAAGAACAAGTAGCGTCGGTAATTGGGGCAACGCGGCGCCAGACGCCAACAACTATGGCTTGTTTCCGAGAGACAGCACAAAGCAGCCACCACCATGGGGACCGAACGGCAGGAGATGACGACAGCCACACAACGATACAATGTCGCAATGGAGGAACCTTTCGCGCACAAGACGCGTAAAGACATAATGAGCAATAACACGGACGGCGTCCCACGATCTTTTCTCTCGATGGCAGGAAGTATTCCGCGGGCTCCATCACCCCCTTTTTGTTTTACCCAACACATACACATTTCCTCCCACACTTTACCACGAACTGAGCGAGCAAGCCAAACACCATATTTTCTGTAACATATATCCCCCACTACAGGTTTTCCTGTAGTTGTCGTAGCGTAGCATAGCGTAAAATATACCCCTCAATGAATACCATTACGTATATCTGTATCGATTGTTCCGAGCAAAGATTGTTGTAAGTAAAGGAGAAGATTAGTGATCGTTGCATTGAGAGCGTTGTATCGTACGATGTTGGAGACGGGTGGCGGTTGCCAAGGTGGAGTAGTCGCGTCAGCCTGAGGCGTGGGTGTGAGACGCTAGGTATAAGGTTTGACTTGTGAGTGACATAAGTCTACTCGGATGCGGGAAATGCTCAGGCCGTGGAGGCGGATGGTTCGGATTATGTCGTTCCTGGGTGCTGCCTGCACGTCAGACAAAGAAAACACAGAACAGGTCTGTAGCCTACATCAAGTTAAACATGCAAAGTAGGCAACCTAACATTAACGTAGGCTCTATGGTATTCAGCTTTTTCCTCAGAAAAGGTGCCTGGGATGACATGCTGACATTGGAGACTCAGGTAGGGTGGGGAGTTGCTCTCTCTTGATGTAGCCGACCCCGCTCTAGCGGCCCTCAGTTCCTTCCTCTCCACAACAACGCCCAACCGCAACTATGCTTTGCGATGTCTGTATGGACATCTTCCGAAGCCCATTTCCCAGAGGACATACGGAGCATCATGATTCGACCGAAAGCTTACAGCGCTCCGTTCTCGAAAATTGTGACATCTGCCGCATTTTCTGGGACGCAATCCCGACCATGTCACGACCAGGCTCCGAGAGCATTCAGGCTTCAACGAAGTTCAGACTGAGTCCTTATAGAGATACAAGCACCATGTTACTGGAGTTTACAGTCTCCTTGTCCCCTTACACACGTGTTTGGAACATCTTTTGTGAGCCCACAGGTAGTACGCACATCACCTCATGAGCGATTAGTACGGGCTGACACTTAGGGAAGAAAACAGTAAAATCCACTATTCGGAGAAGCCGTACGACTATTCAGATTGGACTGGGAGTATGGCATGTGTGAGAACATGGTTAGCCGAATGCTTGGAGAATCACAGCGACTGTCCGGCATCCCGATTGAGCGAGCGCACACTCAGCAAAGCAGTCCATCCTATAGTCGGGCGCACTACATACCTCCCAACGCGTCTCGTCAAAATCGGCGAACCAGAAGCTACTAAAGTACGCTTGCGGCTGTCTCATGAGCTGGATGGCACTTCTTCGCAGTATGCAACACTCAGTCACTGTTGGGGCAAATCCAAAACACTCAGATTAACATCAACTTCGTTTCAACGATTCAGAGATGGCGTGGCTATCTCTGATCTGGCGAAGACATTTCAAGATGCTATAAGCACGGCGCAATCCCTCGGCATCGAGTTGCTATGGATCGACTCCTTCTGTATCTTCCAGGACTCCAAAGAAGACTGGGAGAAAGAAGCAGGACTTATGAGTCAAGTATACCGGCACAGCTTCCTCAATATTGCCGCCAGTGGAGCTGTTGACAGCGACGCTGGCTTCTTTCGTGAGAGAGCTTCGACTATTGAGCCCTACGTTGTTCAAACTGCGTGGACAGACCACCCGAACGGCACTTATCATGTTTACAGCGAGGATTACTGGTCCGAGAATTTCGAACGTATGCCTCTAAGACACCGCGCTTGGGTGTTTCAAGAGAATGTTCTTGCTCCCAGGATACTTCACGTCTGCAGTACTCAGCTTTTCTGGGAGTGCCATGGCCTAAGAGCTTGCGAGACATGGCCTATCGGGCTGCCAGCACACATGTACGCACAATCTTCGCTGAAGTCCACAGGATGGCCTGGAGCTATTGAGATTTTTGGCTCGAATGGCACTGCTGGCATTGAACCTCTGCGTATTTCTACGGACAAGAACGCTATACTTAACAGAGATTCATTTAATAGCCTGTGGATAAAGCTTGTATCAGAGTATAGTCTGTGCAACCTAACTTTCTCCAACGACAAGCTGATTGCACTGTCGGGCGTCGCAAAGCATATGGAGCGGCTCCTCGACATAGAGTACTGCGCAGGCCTCTGGGGTCATGATATTGTTCAAGGACTGGCCTGGTACGTCCCTAGGAAGAGTGATTTGGAGTGCGTATTCCCAACAGAGGCAGTCCCCTTTCCTTACCGTGCACCTTCATGGTCATGGGCATGTATGGATGGTAGAATAGTGTGGCAGGACTATTACCCGCTGAGAAGTCAATTTTTAGCCGACGTTGTCTCTTGGGATGTCAAAACTGCGACAACGGACCGAACAGGTGCAGTCACCTGCGCAACTCTGCAACTATCCGGATTCATGACAACAATGGAGTTACACCCAGAATTTGGGGTCGAGAAGAACTTGGACATTTATTGCGACAGCAAATGGATCAGCATGGATATCCACCAGTTCCAATTTGATCGTCGCCCTCCGTCATTTCAACTGCACTGTATGCCGCTCTTCATTGACAGTCTTGGACATATGTGTGCTATCCTAATCACTCCTACACAAAGCGCTCGCGGTCACTTCCGGAGGGTTGGCCAGTTTCGGGCGTGGGTTGGCTTCAAGAACTTTTGGGATTGGAACCAGCTTCCTCACTTTGAAAACGAGTCATGGTTGGAGTACGAATCGGTCACTGATGACGGGAAATACACGATTACGATTATCTAAAATACGACTTCCGCAAACATTCTGCGATACAAGAGTGCTCACAACGTAGCGTCTTTCAGTATCTGTTACACCTTATATAACAAAAAACCTAAGGTCTAGAGCCTACATTAACGTTGAATTCCCTACTTTGCATATTTGCATGTCAATGTAGGCTGCAGACCTGTTTAGTCTTTTCCTAGGTTGACGTGGTTGCAGACTTCTCACTACCTCCCGGAGACTACATGGTATCGGGTTAAAAGACCTTTCCAAAAGCTTGTGGTAAAAGTACGAGCAAAAACATTTATTCTACGCAACTGCAGCTTAGCTGATCACAATTACATGACCTTCATTTTGGTTGCGCTCTTGATATCGCAAAAGATGTGTGCATGACCCACTCCCAGCAGTCTGCTTTCACCTGACCTGACCAAGATATGAAGGAGGTAGTGACGTAGTAGCACTGCAGCTCTCTTTCGGACTCATGTAGTTCGATCACTGCTCAGCCGTATCATCGGATGTTTCCTTGTTCTTCGTGATGTCTTCTCCTCCCACTTTCGACCTCGTGGAACTTCTTGAGCTTCTTGGCACGTTTTGGAACAATCAACAGGAAGAGTTGCGAGGAGGAAGAGAGGTAAAGACATATGATGTAACGTTTTCCATTTTAATCGCGAGGAAGAAGACAGGCAAGAACATAAGGCGACAGGAAATCGATTTTGGTCGCACGAAGCGAGAGTTTTGGGTAGAAAGGAAGAACTCGACAGGAGGAGGGAGGTATAAATACCCCCAGTGCCACCAGTCGCGTCACATGTCGACAGTAGACTCGCCGCCGGAGCTCATCTTTTCATTATGCTTAACTTTTGGTCATAAATCGTTGATGGTTTCAACACCATGTTTTTGACACTCATTTGTGCCAGGAGAGAAAGCGGACATGCGTCTTGTTGCTAAACATGTCGCTGATGCCGTAAATTTTGGAAACGAGAGGAGAGAACATGGTGTTTCTCAATGCAAGCTTTTCGGTGTGTACGACTGAAAGGTTGGCGATGGGGAAGAGGAAAGAAGCATCCGTAGGGGTAGCTTTTATACGTCTTTGCCTAGCGGCGCCTTCTCCGCTCATGAAAGCCATGGGCGTTGTTTGAATACATCTCCAGGAAGTAGATCTAGTGTTCCAACTGGTCTTCACGACATGATTGATGATGCGAGTGGTTCTGAGCAGGCAGCCATGAACAAGTAGTTCCATCCTTTAGATTCGCGCAGACAGTGGGACATGACAATGCCGTGGTGTATTTTGGAGAGAAGGCACATCGACTTAGAGTCGGTGTTTTCTTGGTGTAAGCGCGAAGGCCGTCGAACGGTTGGGATTTCGTTTTGGAGAAAATCGTGTAGGAAGGTGATGTAGAAGTCAAAGAGGCCGGCGCTCGTGAAGCTTATTCACTGTTCTCTGCCAGGAAATTGAAGAGAGCGCGTGTCTTGCCATCAGTTCGTGCCATGTTCAAACTAAAGAAAATGACCAATTCATTAGGCATGCGGGGTGAAGAGCGAAGTGTTCCAAGTTGTTGCATCTTGCAGTCATTAACATTATTCTATGCTGTTTCTGTTCATTATAGTACGACTCCGCGAGAGTAGCGTCTTCATAACCTCTACATGATTCCCATCTATGCGATACCGAAGACCTTGGTAGGAGTAATGGTGAAGTTGAGAGGGTAAGTGACAAACTGGTTGTACCTGGCCTCGTGGGTGCCGGAGAAGTTGTACGCAGGGCTATCATTCTCGTCAGTCTAAAAGTTCTCACAACTCCAAAATAGAGAACAAAACTTACCGGTCACCATAAGCGCCATACTCAAAGCTAACCTCAATCTCCTTAGGCCCAAAGCCATTGCCATCATGCTCCCTCTCAGAAAGCCTAGCCGCAACACCGTTGTTGACACCCTCGAGCAGCTGGCAGTTCTCGTATGCGGAAGGAATCATAAAGCTTTGGTCATAACCCTGCTCGTAGCCGTGACAATACGCCTTGACGCCCGCGGGACCTTCCGGCACGCTGGGCACAGTGATGTTGAAGTTGTAGTAGCAGCCCTGGCGGGAGCAACCAGCTTCCCAGTTCTCGACTTGCCAGGTCCAGCCTTCTGGGATGGCGATTTGGCGGGCGACAGGGCCGGCCATGGCAGTTGTTGCGAGGAGGGCGAGGGCGGTGAAGGATACCATGTTTGCGGTTTGTGTGTGTGTTTAGTGGGTTGGTGTTAGGTATGAAGGTCTGAGGCGTGAGTGTGCGAGGATGTGAGTACAGCAAAACGGACGACCAGACTCAGACCTAATATACAATCACGCATCCTCCGAACACGAGCCCACGACCCATGAACAAAGGCAAAGTCGTGCCGACTAATCAATCGCCAATACGGCTAATAGCCGTACGGACGGACAAAGTCTACTCGTTCGGGCATTTAGACGTCACTTTCCGCCGAGATCGCCAGCCGAGGATGCCCGTTACAGCATGATGCACTAACGTAAAGACAAGGCTGTCCCCGTCCACTAACCACAACGCGCGCATCACGGTCCACCTGTGGCCTATATTTGGCGTCAACGTCTTATGCCCTTTCTCCACGATGCGAACAGTGAGCTCCTTCACCGTCTTCTAGGGCAAGATGGACGGAAGATAAGATATTGATTGCAGGCAATATTCCGGTTGCTGAACTGTTTAGGTGAGTGCCACCGCTATGCAGTTAGCCTACCAGTTGCCAGCATGGCCACAGTGGAGACGCTAAGAGCGCTCTCGTATTTCCCCATGATGGTGGTGCGAGGAACGTCATTTCTCGACCGAAAGTCTGTTTAGTTGCGAGTTGCTGTTACAGTCGCCACGGGTCTAAGGTAACATCATTTCTGGGCAGACCTCACCTGATCGTATTACTTCTGCGGCTAAGGCTGATTGAAATTCGCGTTGTTCATTTGCGACGACGGTGTTCAGGAGGGGGGTTTATCATGGTGGACTTTTTGGACGCTCTGGAAAACGCCAGTCTATATGGCCACTAGTCTCCTATTTCTAGAGGAGGATTCAAGAACGCAAGACATAACAAACATCTCCTGCTTTTTCTTTTTCTTCTCAGGAAGAGGAAGCGACACACGCATGACGCAGACCATGTTCAATTTTGAAGAGACGAGAAATAGACAAACACATGTAGGCGTCTGAGTGTGTATTTTGAGAAGACGAGGAAGCGGCACACACATGGGAACTCGCTGCCGGATTTTAGGTTCCACAAAGAAGTGTAGAAGCGTGTTGGAAGAAGGAAAGAGTCCAGCAGCCGTAAGGTTTATATACCTCCTCCTACCACCAGAGGAGACCAACAGAACCATGAGGCGAAGTACAATCACTTTTTCGCAAGTAGAAGAAAGCTTCACATGCAGCCAGGATCATGGCTACACCTGGAGATGATTTTGATACAGCGCCTCTCTTCACTACCGTGATTGCGAGAAGGGAGCTAGAAAGATACATAACCTTATCGCCGTCGTCTTTGAAAGAGCAAACTCCATTGTATTCGGCTCATAATACGTTGAGCGTATCGTTTCGATCCAGAACGACGGAGAAAACAGCCATAGGACGATGGGATGTGGTATTTTGAGGAAGAGGCGAGCAAACCACGCATGGTTGCAATCGGTGTAGTTTTGGAGAAAAGAGCCAGCAGAACATGCCCGGAATGTGTCGCAGTTTTTGGAGAAAAGGAGTAGACAGCACACCCATGAATGGACATGCATGAGATTTTTGGTCTTGCAAAGAGGAACGAACGTGTCTGAGGGGAAGCAGTGCGCAGTAACGGAGGTTCATATATGTGGAACAGGTGGCTGCGCTAGGACGAGTACAGCGGACCTGAGGAGGACTCGGACATGGAAGTAGAGGTACCGTTCGGAGACGAGAAACACCCACGGCCAAATTCTCTTTGCCATTTTGGTATAAAAAGCCCAGCTTCAGCTGGGCCATCACTCGTTTCTTGATGTTTTTAGAGCCACAAAGCCGAAGACACAGCCATCCCTCGACGTTGTTCAGTTTTTGGAGGAAGAGGCAAGGACGCAGATCATAGGATACCACGTTGTTCATCTTGGTAAAAGCAGTCCAACGTTTTGGTTTCGAGGTAGGAGCAGAGGCTCAAAGCTGGCTCATGAACCAAGTCCTTTGGGTTTTATATCCAGAAGGCGGAAGAGACAACCATCGGACTTTGACGAGGACATCCTTGGAGGAAGAAGCAGCACATGTCCTTGTGGAGGGGAATTTTGGATGTGCCCAGAAGAGGCGGAGAAGACAGTCATTCGTCTTCGTCTTCGGGGGGTTGGGGGGTTTGGAGAAGTACGCAGCACATGGCCTTCCGGAATAGGGTTTTGAATTGATCCAGAGAAGGCGGAACGAATAGTCATCGTATCCTACCCTCTTTTTTTCCAGAGGAAGAAGCGGCACATAGAGGTGGTCATTGTGCTTTTTGAGTATGTCCAGAGAAGGCGGAAGTCACAGTCACAAGTTGGGCATTGTACGATTTTGGAGGAAAAAGCGAGACATGAGTTTCTTCCATGGCAAGTTTAAAATCGATCCAGAGAAGGCGAGGAGAAGCAGCCATGAGTTCTTCAGGTTGTGATTCCGGAAGAGAGAAGGAAGACGCAGGACATGGCTTTGTGCCGGACTGATTTTTTGGAGAAAGAGGAGGACACCCATGGAATGGATTGGTCTTAGTTTTGGTTCTGTAAAGAGGGAACTGAGTGATGGAAGAAAGGAAGTGAGGGTTGCGAGAGGGGTATTTATATGCCGGGCGCGCGTAGAAGCTAGGACCAAAATGTATGTTATCTGGCATCGATGTCTATGGGACAACAAAAGGCCAAGACATGGTAAGTTCTGGCTGTACGAAGTGCATGTGAGACATATACTGACTTCGTACCTCTACCTCTGCAGTGGGAGCATGTATTCTGCAAAACCGATGAGTAACTTCCCCATCTCATCCCCAACTCCGTCAACTCCCAACACACTCTTAGCATCTACTCTGCCTCCCTCCCCACCCTAATTCCTACCCGGAACGTCCAATCCCCTCGCCCTCCGCCTATCTCCATCCCTCCCCTCACTCCTCCGCCCCTCCCTCTCATCCCCACTCCCCCCCTTCTCCTCAACCATAACACCCCCATCACTACTCGTCTGACTCCCCCTCCTCCTCCCATCCGGGCTCAAACTACCCTCTTCCCTCCTATTAGCTCTCTGCATTCTGCTCGCAGCCGTCGGATCCGCATCCGCAAGCGCGACAGGCGTAGCTACCCTCGCTAGCTGCGCTACGGCGCCAAATTTCTTATCCGATATCTCTTGAGTCGTAGTGTTGGCGGTGGTAGTAAGCATAAACGATGCGACTTCGCTTCTCACAGAGCTTCTACTGCTGGAGCGCTGGGAAGAAGACGAGTGGACAGGTTTCTCGTTCTGGGAGCCAGGAGATGGATGTGGCGGGATAGGCATGACAGCCAATTCACCCAACCAGCGTCTCGCCAACGCCCTTCTGCATCGTCCCACGACACCAAAGTCCTCTCCACCAGTCCCATTCCCACTGCCGTCGACACCCCTCCCCGGCCTAACCTTTTCCTCGCCAAACCAACGCGTAATAAGCCGCCATTTGAAGCCCGCCCACCACCCCACAGGCACAACATCATCTCTCGGTCCACTGCGACTCCACAGGCTGGGCTGCGCAGTAGCAAGTTCATGGTACAGTGCCTCGTAGACACCTCGTCGCATGGGGTTCTGGCGCTGACTTGCGAGATTGTGTTTTACGCCGTACCAGAGTACGAGGACGATGACGAGGACGGGGATGGAGACTATGAACCACCATTTCAACGGCGGGTTTTCGGAAAAGGTGGAGACGTTCATGCCGAAGAAACCGACTGTGAAGGTCAGGGGGAGGAAACTAGGTGGTGTATTAGTTTCTTGCAAGCGTTGAAGGGGGTTGGGGTTGGGGTTGAAGGGGAGGGTGAACGTACATGAATGTGATCCAACTCAAACGCCACATACTCAGGCCTAATTGCAAGGAGTGTCGCGCATCCCTAATACCTACACTCTTGTACATGAGGTCTGATAGAGCGGTTGTGGGTAGGATGACATCTCTTTCCCACTGCCCTGTCAGCTTATCGAGTTCGTCTGGTACGGAACCTAGCCAAGGCTGGTCTGAGGATTCTTTTGGGTCGGCGCCTGCCAGATCGTGTAGATGGGTGACCATTTCCTTGATTACGTCGACGTGGATGTAGATAAGACGTTCCACCTTGAGCCATTGCGCGCTGTTTTTCCAAAGTTCGGGGGCGCGAGATTCGTCGGCGGGGTTCTCGTAGACTGTGGGTGGGATGGCGGTTAGTCGGGGTACTCCTTGTGAGAAGAGGAAGGTAGTACTCACTCTTGTCTTCCAAAATCCCAACGTGGGTTTCGCAAACAGCCAGAAATTTCTGCCAATTATAGCTCAACGCTTTGAACACATCCTGCAAGATGAAATCCATACACTCCGCCGTCAGCGTTTCATCGTTCTCCTCCATGGGTAGATAGAAGGATAGTCGTCTCCAGCGAGACTCGAGTTCTTGTCGCGCGCCGATAAGGGTATCTTTGACGGAGCATGTGACCGAGTTCTCAAAAAGAATGATGGTATTTCCGTTGTCGAGTGAGCGCAGTTTGGGAATGTAACGTTCCTGGTGTTCATTCGCATCTACGTTGCCGTAACTCTTCTTCAACCGCATGTACTCCTCCCACGCTTCCTCGTCATACGGGTTTGGTATATCGGGGTCAACGGCTTGCCCTGGAGTTCCATCGCTGAGCTGAACGTAACAGCTCAACCGCTGCACATATACGTCGTGTCCGTATCGTGGCTGGTCCGTCTCGTCGTAATGATTAAGCTCCATAATAGACTTGTTGTTATTCGGGCGTGGAATGTGTGTACTTCTATCGTAGGATTTGAGGTAATCGGCTCCGAAGGCTGCGCGAGAGATGCCACGCCAGGGATCACGTTGGGCGCGGAATGTACGGCCATTGAGGACGGGTTTGCCGCCGCGTTGTTGAGGCTTCTCGTAGCTGGCCCAGCGACCGAAGTTTGTGCCTACTAGATCGTCCGTGGCGTCGATGTTGAACTTGCGGAGGAGGTAGCGTGTTGCCCAGCTGGCGTTTTGGACGTGGATCACGCGCAATGCTGCTTGCGCCGAGAGGTCTTCTTTGCGGTAGAAACGGCGCAGACTGTCGATGTCGGAGAACTCCTGGGCCACGATCTTCCGCCTTCCCTCCGCTGAGTGTTCCTTTGCGACATAATCGATGAGCAGCACGCGGCCCTGTGACCAGCTATCCTTTGTCCATGGTTGCCGCCATTCGAGGTTCGGACTGTGCTTGCGACGGTGGCCAAACGTGCCTTTCGGGTGTTCTGAGGGGCGTGTGTAGAAGTGATCGTGTTCGTGGGAGTAGTGCGTGGACGTGGTAAAGGCTCGAGGGGCTGTTCTGAACGTCAGCTAGGGATCCTGACAGCTAGCAAGCGCGACTGCTAGTTGCGACATCTGCCAGCGCAACGCGAACCTGGTAACTTCCAGGACCAATAGGTACCTCTAGTAGTATCCAAGCTCCACGCCATTACACTCCTCTTTACAACGTCTCTTCTCCTTCGCTTCTCTCTTCCTGGAAACACTCACTATTCATGTCCTCAAATTCAGGACTCGGCAGCGGCCCTACACCCGTCGCCGTGTCTTCCACCGTAATCGGCGGCGCAGAATTCGTCCTCATGCTAGCCATACGATCCAAATATCCTCTTTAGCAGCTAAATCGTGCCTTCGCAGGTATGTCGTGAACTGAAGCGTCGCGCATTCAAAGAACGATCACCCGCCAACGAAATCGGAATAGCGAGAGTACGACAGCCACAACCGCGTACGACGAACAAACAGGACGGTTGGTGGAAACAAGGCGTACATAGGTGATGTGATGTGCGATCGCCGAAGGTATGTCACGGTGGATGGTGGTGGAGTGCCATGATGGTGGCCTAACCGGTGTACAGTGCGCTCACAGGAAGGTCATGCCGTGCTGCCGTGGGTGGGTATGTTGTGGCTGATGCGATCATGAGGCTGAAATGAAGCCTACCAACAGATGCGATGGACGGTCACAGGAGCAGGGGAGATTTGCACATGGCGAGACCTCCTCGGAGAATTCCTCAGCTGCCACAACCGTGAAGGACAGTGTATCGCCATGATAGAGGTCCGAACAATGTTCCCAGCACCGAAAGGAAAGTAATGCGTGTATGAGTTGTGGCTGATGATGAGGCTGGGGTTCGCGTCGCGTGAACATTTAGTGCCCGCACTAAAGGGCGGAGTCAGCCTTATGGATACGGGGTGACAATAGCACAGCAAGATCACATGCACAAAACATTTCGATCGATTACGTTATTATTCTCCACGTGAGAGTCTTGATTAGATTCTAAGTAACTAGACAATAGACTACAAGTTCCATATGGCAACTCAGCTCTGTACAAATAACAAAGCTCGGTGGTATGATATGATACGGTAATAAGGGTCGTGATAATCGTGTCGGGTTGATGCATCTGCGCCAGAACCATTTAGCGCCTCAATAGATGGGTATTAGCAAGGAGAGACAGAAAACACGTGAACAAGGAAAACTCCCAGCATGAAAAGCCCACTTCAGGTCGCTCGCTCGCTCGCTCAAACGCCGTCAAGAACGATGGTGGGGGAGAAAAGCAGAGGGGGTATCTAATCATTCACACTGGCGGCTGCGCCTCGTGATTTCCTCGTCACTAAGGGCGGCGAGCCAGAGACATTTGCTGAGGACGTGAGGTTCGACGTTGAAGGTGTATTTAGAGCTGGCTTCGAGGAGGCGGAGTAGGTTCTTGACGATGGTGGCGGCGGTGTGGTGGCGGTCGAAGTTTACGAGGCGTTCGCCGTCGGCGGGTGGGGCGTCGATGAAGGCGGGCTTCTGTGCGTTGTAGATGAGGTCGCGGGTGTAAACACCTAGGGTCTGTTAGCTTTTGAAATGAGTGTTGAGCAAGATGGTACGAACCGATGAAGGGAATGCAACCGTCGTCTACAGTTGCTGTTTCCATTTCGAGCCGCAGGTTGTGGAAGTTCTTCAATGGTTGGACAAGCGCTTCCAACTCTGTCATGACCAGCATCTCGGCTGCGGGAACCAAAGCCCACGTCTTCTTGAGACTCGATACATCGTTTGATATCAAGGCGATCGCGATCTGATACATCGTAGCGTAGTTGCGGTATCGTCGTGCGTGCGTTGCGATGTGAATGAACTTGGTGATGCATCGCGCACGCTCATGGATATCCTCCGTGAGTAGGACCTCGGACACAACCCATTTGACGACAAGGTTGAATCGCGCGATGACGACGTCGACACCTCTGGCCTCTTCGGTTCGGAGGTATTGCACCCAGTCGCGGATCTGTGGAGAGGACTGCTTCCAGCGCAACTCTATGAGTTCTTTCCAGTCAATCTCGTCCAATGCGTCCTTTTCAACAATGGTAAACTGCTGAGCGAGGACTTCGGAGTCATGGGCCAAGATGAAGGGCAAATGTGCAGTTCGAGTCGGAGCTGCACTCTGACGAGGACCTTCTAGATCAGCGGGAGACTCAGCAAGCTGTCCAGGCTGTGTGAACGGCTGCTGGTTCGCGCGAGAGACTGTCGGGGTAAGACCTGGTGTTGGCAGTCCTCGGTCGAAGACTGTAGAGCTGGGCAATTCGTCGTTCAACCGGTTTCCTGTAAGAGGCGGTGTTGGAGGGTGGCGCATAGGATGCGTGAGATTGTCAGGGTCGCCCTCGGGTGTTGCTGGCTCGTCGTCGAAGAAACTCCTCACGCCGTGGCTATCACGGCCCGACCTCGCTCCTCCTCCAGAACTTCTGTCACTCAGATCCTCGTCTTCGTCGAGTAAGAATGATTCGCGAGGGTAGGCGGTACTTGGCAAAGTCCCACCAGGCGGTATCTGCTTCATGCTCTCTGTTTCGACGACGTAGTCAATAGAGGATTCCATCGACGAAGATGTACCCGGAGGACCTTCGGAATGGGGCGAGACACTAGCAAAATGCAGAGGTGATGGTTTGGCGGAGGACCTCATCGTATCAAGCGTATGCCCCCGCTGAGGGGTTTCAATCTGGCTCAAGCCCCGGTCGAGAAGAGGTATTGAGGAATAAGAGTCGGTTGACTCACCAACAGACTGAACCGCAGGTACACGGCGGTTGAAATTCTCAGCGGATAGGCGGTACATTTCTTGTCCGTCTGTTTCTGGAGGAGCCAATGGACGATGAAAAACGTCGTCGGTTTCGGGACGCCCTCCCTGATCGTAGGTATCAGCTCGTGCACGTTGTTGATCAGCGCCAGTCGGGCGATAGTAGTCTAGCTCAACAGTGGTCCGTTGGGAAGGAATGCTAGGCGACTTCTTCTCGTAACGGCCTTCTAGTTTCATCAGAGCTGATTCGACGCCACCTTCATCATCCGTGTCGTCAGGGAGAGCAGCAAGCTTAGCTACTTCTGCTTCGAAAGACGGTCTTAGATTGGGCTGCGAAGAGTGTGTGTCGACCAGTGAGATTGGTTTCTTTGGAATCTCAGCCTCGGCTGGCCCTTCTGTGACGGGCTGAACCTCTGCTTCCGAATCGACGAAACGATCAGATCGTAGAATAACCGAATTGGTGACCGAATGCGTGTGGTTAGAGACTGAGCCGGTAGAGTGTGGGCGCTGCGAAAATTCGAGATCGTGGATGTTTCCTGCAGCGCGAAGATCACCACCCGGACGTCTACGAAGCTGACGTCCAGGCCCACTAGCATCAGGCGCTGGTTGGCGATCGAGGAAGAAGGGATCGTTGTCTGATGACATGGTTTGGAATGTCGCAATACTCGCGGGGCCTTGACGTCTGCTGAGCACGCTATTGTAGGATGCATGCCGGCGGAGAGAGCCTGCCCGCGCCAGAGAGTTCTTGCCCGACCCCCGGCGTCGGAAGGAATGCATCCTTTCTGGACCTGCAGACATGGACCTCCTTGTTTGTCGGGTGGTGGGTCGTTTGATCGACATACGCGAATAGCGGTGCTCTTCTGTTGCTGTTGCTGGTCGAGGTTCTGGGTCGTCATAGAGCTCGGAATGCCGTACTGGAGCAACATCCTCACTTGCCAAATGAACGTTGTTTGCTTCCTCCTGCTGATGACTATCCAACTTTATTGCTACCTTGTCGAGATCGGGTGCCAGGGTATCCGATATGACTGGCAAGGGTGGTGGCCCGGTGTCGTCAATGATCACTATCGACTTACTGCCACTAGTGATGGCGCTGTGTACGCGTGGATCCTGTGCTTTCTGCTGCTCGGTATGATTTGGGGTACCACGCCTGTCAAACTCAAACTCGAATCCACCTAGATCGGGGGGCTCGAGACCTTGTTCCTGGCTTTCGCTCTCAAGCTGTTCTTGGACAGCCGCTCTGAAACTCTCTGCGACTGCGGCGGCCAGAACATCGATACGCATCTGAGGCTTTGGTCGAGTGGGGCGTCGCTTGTGTACGCCTCCTGAGATGGAGACTGAGGACATGGCGCCCGGGTTAGAGGCTCGCACGTATGGCGGCTGCCGTTGTTGCCCAACGCTACCTGGTTGAGGGCTTGGACTCATTTGCTGCCGGGTACTTAGCGCGCGGCGTACGCTGCCGAAGATCTTCTTCATGCCAGGAGAAGTGGCGTGCCCTGGTCTTTGGAATTCGTTCGCTTCTGCATCTTCGATGTCGTGCAGGTACTGAGACCGTGAAGGGCGTAGAGCTCTGATCTCGAAATACGGGGAGCTGGGCTGGAAGAGTCCTCCACGTACCAGTGTGCCGGGCATGTTCGTGACAGCAGACATGGCAAAATCTGCGGGTGCGTTTTTGGGAATGGAGAGTGGCGCTCTGCTATCTCGAAGAGCATCAGTAAAGCTGCCACTGCGCTTATGACCATGCGATGGGCGATGGGCGTTCTTGATGGATGCTGGTTGTTGCGGACTAGCTGTCAAGCGGGCGGTGCCGGTGGGAGCTGGGTTGGTGACCAGTACTGGGTGTGGATATAGGGGAAGCTCGACGGCCTGGTCATGTTTGTGCCGCATGGGTATTGAACAGGATAGGACGTGCATGCTCTGCTCACTGGCGGGCGATAGGGGTATCTGGGCAGTCTCGTATTCTTGCGAAATGTAAGGCGAGCTCATGGAGTTTTGAGGCGTGTGTCGTGCTCTCTGCGCCCAGTCCATATGCCGGCTGGCAAAGTGGTCGCTTGGATTTGAGCCGATGGTCTCCTTGGTGTCCCGGATGTTGGCTCGTGGAGGAGTTGAGGGTAATGGAATCGCTGGAGGAGGCTCTTCGTATGCCGCTTGCGATCCATCGTATCCGCCTGGGAGCAATTCGTCATCTGCAAAGTTCTGGCCAATGTGGTCTTCCGTCTCCCAGTATAACGCGCACGTCCGCCTCCAGCACTTCTTCAGTTCCCCGACAATCTTAATGTCACCCCCACCTCCGTCCTCTCGGTTCCGGAGATCGTTGTACAGGCTGTTGACGAGGTCGCAGAAGTTGGTCCGTAGGGAGTAAAAGGGCATGAAGTCGTCGACGAAGTAGTTCAGGATCCAATGGCGGAGGGCTACGAAGGTGCGCACACGGACAATGCGCCCAAAGTCGTCTTGGCGGTCGACGGCCCATCGTAGGCGGGAGATGAGGTATGCGACGAGGTCTCGGGTGCAGAGGAAGGCCCGGAAAGTAAGGAAGAAGTCAGAGAGGAGTTCGTAATCCAGGAAGCTGGGAGAGGTGATGTGTGCAACGAGTCGTGAAGGGGTGGCTGCGAGGATGTCGCCGTCGGCATTGAATCGCACAACAGCGCGGTCGTCGGGGTTGGTGGTGAGGGAATCGTAGAGTCGGGGGCTAATAGGCATATGGGAGACACGCGCTGAAGAGGGACCGGAGGGGGCCATTGGCGGGCGGTCCATAGTGGCGCGGAAGCGGTGGGGGACGGGCGAGTAGGCGTCTGAACGAGGGCGCGACGACAGAAACGACTGCCGCACCCCTCGCTGTGGGGTCAGGAGCGAGTTCGCAAAGTCTTCGGCGCCTGAGGTTCGGGTGTAGACTGAGGAGCGCAGGTCGGCGGTCCCTCGTGTGCTGAAACGCGGAGTGCCCAAGCGGTAATGCGGTATGGGTACCTGCAGCAGCGGGAATGACGATGTATCTGCCGTCTTCGGGCGCATATGCGACGGCCGCTCAATCACCACTTTGAAGGTGCCCGGTTCGTGGCTGAGCGTCGCGGCCGTGTGGTCGTCCACGGTGGAGAAGGAATGCGAGCGTGCGTGTGCGAGTGGGCGTCCAGCGTTGGAATCGGCTTGGGAGTGCTGCTGGAAGGCATTGCCCTCGCTCAGGTCCGGTAGCGGCGGTGTAGGTTCCGAATGGGGTGTTCGCGAGCCGTAGAGACTCTGTTCCCACTCATTGCTCAGCGGGCGAAGTTTGTCGAGTGTTGCGCTGTCGGGCGGCGTCTGGGGCGGGAAGACGAAGGGATCTGGTTGACGACCTCGCTGGTTTCCAGGGCGGGCTACAGGTCTGGGGATGTCAGCATATGCGTGGAGTGTCGAGGTTGGTGAGGTATGGGATCATGTGAGGCATGACGTGCGCCTTCCTCGCGGGCTGCGTAGCTCCTTCCTCATCCATGAATATGTTGATGTTTGCTGACAACACCATACATCTCGACGTACCTCAGGTATATGACGCCGTTGTGGACATTCGCAACCGTGTAGCTGCGACCGGCCGAGGTCGAGTTGCTCGTCGTCGTGTCGATGGTGGCGTTGCTGGTGCCGCGTGCTCTCGTCCTCCTCTTGAGCTGCTCCCTCGAGTCCTTCACCCTTCGCAGGCGGCGCGAATCATCAGCGCGCCTTTTTGCCGTGTCTGAGCCTGCACCTGCACCGGCACCGGGCCAAACGTCGCGTTTCCCTTCAGCAGGGGAGCCCGGCGCAGGGAAGACATTCTGTTGCATTGCCGGTAGGGCCATCCTCCCCCATAGCACTTCAGCTCAGCGAGTACATGTACGTGGTGCGTAGACGAAGCATAGCCATCAACGACTCGGACTGTGCAGGCGTCTTAATTACAAGTAGCACGAGGGAACCGACTAGAGTTGATTCATGTGCAGCCCTGTCACATCGCCCAGCGCGCGCCATAGCAAGGCCATTCACCAGTCAGCGCCCGCGTCGCTTGGGCTGAACGCCGCCTGCATTGACCCAGGCCTGGCCGGGCTAATCTGACCTCGCTTCACTCCGTTGCTCCGCCTGCTCTACAGGGAAAGCCAGGTCTGATTACAGGTTTGCCCATCCTGCTTGCATCGCCGCGCACGCACACGAACCCGCTCGAATGCAGCTGCGAACTGCTTTTTCGCTGCCCGTCGGTCCCCGTCCTGCGAACGGCCGCCACTCGCCTCTGCCTCGACACCCAAAGCCACTACTGCGATATTACGTCGGCTGCCGGGCGATAAGCTTCCAGCCACGTGAACTTTAAGGTTCCTCCCACTTGCTATCCCCGTGATTCCGAGCTTGCTGATCGAGGTTATTCTACCCGCCATGATAGTCGTTGTGCAACGGCCTCCAATCCCCCGTGGCAGCACAAGATTGCCAAAACAACAGCGCATGGGACAATCAATAAACACATCATTCGCCCTGCGATCCTGTCCCAGGGTCCTGCCGTTTCCAGGCGAACACGCATCCATCCAGTGCCGCGATCTGCCACTGCATCGGTACTTTCTCCTCCCTGGCGATCCAACGCCGCCATTGGCCACCTTCATCATCTCGCTAAACAAGTGTTTCCCTCTATCGCAATCCCTTAGCATCCTGCAAACACCAAGGCGGCTCATCTCCGACCCTGCGCAACGTCATCAACAGCCCTCTTATGAAACAGGGCTCCCTTCATCAGACGCTGCCGCAATTTTAACAGCATCCACACTGACTACACAGGTTTCTGACGTTTAACGCTCGTAGCTGACTCGGCGGGCATTATCACGTACATTATCTCTTACCGTTGCGTCAGGCTGCAATCCCACAAGCGCACTATAGTAACACCCCGGATGCCCATCAAACCGCGAGCTACTGCACGACATCAACCATGGTACCACCTGTCAAGTCGTGCATCTGGCCTCCACCGCTTGACACCTGTAAGAATACACAGACGCCCACACACTAATTCCACCTTACAGTAAAACCTGCGCCGGTACATCTAGCTCGTGCCGACCTAAGCCGAGCACACCACCCAAAGTACTCCAAGGCCAGGTGCAGCAGATACGGTAGTAGTGGAGTGCGTTTCGCAGACCGAAGAAATGCCTGATGCACAGCACAAGTTGCTATATTCGGCACGACCTGCAGACTCTCCGACTTCGCCTCGTTATTATCCGGCCCGAATAGCGAAGGAAAAGGGACGAGCCTGCACTAATCACCCTGAGATTTTCGATACGAACGTGTGAATGGGTAGGATGTTAGATCTGCGGTGCATATCACACGTACCGAGATCGGTGAGATGCGTCTTGAAAGTCCATACTCGCATCTCCTTCCGCAAATTTCGAAGATTGCTTGTGCGAATACACCGAGACACTGGATATCCAATACGATGTGTTCCTCGTCAATAAAGATGCTTGTTTGATTAAAAAGGATACCCCCTCACATCGTCTTCAGCATCAACATCCAACCCTGCCTCCACCTGCTCTTGATGTTTCCTATCTAAATACTCCAACAGCACATCCCCATACATCTCCTTTCCCTTGTACCGACTCACATCGTCCCCCCAAGAACGAATCGCACTAGCCAGTCTACCCGGCACATATGGTTCCTGTGCGATTTCCGTGATGGGGTGGAAGTAGGTCCGGATTGTGAAGACTACGCCGCCGGATTTGGGGAGTCTAGATCGTCAGTGTCAGAGCTTGTATCTTCTTGTAGAAAAAGAAACGGACGAGGCGAGTAAATCATGGAGGGGGACGTAGGAATTCGGTATGTGGGAAGATGGAATCAACATACCTCCTCAGACTCTGCCTCTCACTCCTAAACCAATGATGCTCAACCGCTTTATTCTTCTCCGCTGTAAACCACCCTATCCCTTCTTCTCCCTCTGTATCTTCAGACCCTATACTCTCGCTCCAAGCGAGGTTATCATCAACTTGGATGAAGTAGTTGTTTCGGAGGACGGGGGACTGGGGCTGGATTCGCCGGAAGAAGTTGGACATTGGTTTTTCGAGTTTGGTCTTGAAACTTGGGTGGGGGTTAGTGAACAGCGTTTTGGAGGGAGGGGGGTCGGGGGTGGAGGTGGAGGTGAATGTGGAGAGAGATGGGAAAGAGAGAGGGTACGGAGAAGGGAAGAGGGAGACAACATACCCAGGAACATCCCCACTAGTATGTATCTCACTTAACGGCATACCGAACTTATCCTCCAGTCTCCAAAACCCAGCTAGTAGAATCGCTCCAGCGAGGAGGTAGTACTGTCCATCTTCCTTCTCAACCATGATGGCGAGGTCGTCTTGGATTAGTCTGGCGCACATCTCCATCGGATCCTCCTTTACACCGTTCCGCTCCAGTCTTTCAAGATCGAATATTTCGTTCGTGACCAGGTTCTCCAGTCCGTTCTTTACACCATGCTCATTTCTGATGGCTTGAAAAACAGTGGGATATCGTTCCGTCAAATATCCACTCAATTCCTCCAACAGCTCCCTTACCGCGGCCTCCGCCTCCGGAGCAGTCTTGACACATTTCGAACCCCTCTCTGCTATCCTCTCTGCTTTGAGTTTATGGTAACTCAAATATTCGTTATCGAGTTCAATCCATTCATCCCAATTCATATTCCTCAAACCCATCGTGATGTTATACTTCGGCCCATGGCGAAAAGGACGGTACGGTAACGGTTTCGTAGTGCTCAAAGAGAAGTTTGGATAAGGCGGTGCTTGGGGGCGGTTAAAGGGGGAGGGAGGCCATACTCCTGGAGGGCGATCCGGTGCTTTGAACGGGGAGCGTTTTTCTAGGTTGGGGGTGCTGGGACGAGAGGGGTGGAGGCGGCGAGCGCGGATGAGGTGGGTGATGGTTACGGCGAGGTAGGAGAACGTCGCGAAGAGGATGAGGGAATATAACGCTGCTTTGGGTTGGGTATTGATGTCTTGGAGTAAATTGTTGAACTGCGTTGCAGCGGCGGTGCAGTGATGGCGTATGTCACGTGCAAGACGCTTGACGAGCTCTTCGAGGTCAGCGACAAGAGTCGACATGATGAACATCAAGTTCCAACACTATCCCCTCAAACTCAAGTAAAAAGAAAGACGGCGTAACACCAATGTTATAAGCAGTCACAAACTAAACAGCAACAGCACAGTGACCCAATGACCACACACATCATGCGCGACATGTAAATCAGCTTCCGTTTATTATTCGAATGTATGTACAAGCCAATGGTCTTCTGCGATAACGATCCTGGACACTGTGGGGTCGGAGTGACATGTGTCGTCAGTAGGTGGTTATCTTGTCTGGGCGGGGAAAGGAATACCCCACTCGGTTAGACTTGGTGTCTATCGATGCGACTCTTGATAACAGGGATGAACATCCTCGCACCACGTCTGCGATGTGGTCTGGGCACGGAACGATTCCACAACGTGTTTAGATGAGCTGCACCGTGACGCCGTTGGGGAAGAGGAGTTGGCTTCGGATCCGGTCTCCTCTGTCCGGGTTGAGCCCCCAGACTACCCCCACTTTGTGTCTGACCACTGGTACTTATACATGTATACTATGCGCCTTTCCGATCTGTACGTTGTAGCAGACAGTAATCACCCCATTGGCGACGAAACTTTGCTGGAATCACGGCTAGGTCTGGAACCCAGAGCATGCGACTGATAGTATGTGTCTTGCTTGCGTCTAGGAAAGGGAGGCACTTCAACGCCTTCCAGTGCTCTGTATCGGAGATGTAATCCGGCTCGAGAGATGTTGGTGGAGCACCAGCAGAGCGAGAGTCTACAATAAAGTCACACTGCTCGATATCGGTCTGTTTCGTCAGGTTAGTTAGGTTCATGTTTGTATTCCCAGTTTGCGTACATATTTGCTAGGATCTTCCAGGTTCTCATCGTTCATTCCGGACGGTACGAGCCAGGTGCCGGGAAATAGTCCGAGTCTGGCATCGGCTTCGCTGAACTCGCCTGGCAGGAGGCCAGAGAATTCGCTTTTGATGAATTTGGCGTGGACACCTTGGGGCAGGTTGAAGGAAGATAGGAAGCGATACCACTCTTTGCCTAGACATACGGTGTCTCCTGCGTGTGCAATTGTAGGGTTAAATAATGGTGTGTAAACATTGAGTGGCGCCGAGTATGCAGACATGTGACCTGCAATGCGTTAAAGATCCATTCAAAGTTGTCTTAAGAGAGCTGATGCTTGCTCATCAGTAGGACAAGAGATGACACATACCATTGATCCTGAGGATGCCCAGGTTCAAGGACAAGAGTACGGGAATACAAACAATGACGAGCTTCACCATTGGAGGTATCTTGCTGACCAGATGTCGTGGGTCCATCGAACCAAAGTTGGCTAGCAAGATGTGCAAGGAGAGGGCTGCATTCCAGGCTAAAGCAGGATACGCTGGGTACATGAACCGTTCCTCTTTATGAGGCTGAACGGTAAATATCGCCAACCATAAGTAGAATGGGCTGACAAAGGTGATGGACCTCGTGAGCGTGTTCCGATAAACCGCCCTGTCAAAGACAACATACTGGATCAGCAGCAGCGGGAGAGCAGCCAGCGCGAGGAAGAACCAGATGTTGAAGTTGAGCGCTAGATTTCGAACGTAGAAATGCCACGGCTCTACTCCATAGATATCAGGTCCTCTACTACCACCGCTGAAGACGTTGTATAGTACGATGTTGAGCGGCACGCACACGAGCTTCCTGTAAAACAGCGAGTCGATGGCGGTCTGCAAGATTACAATAGCAAAGGCTCTAGGTGCGCCTTGGAGTAGTATACGCCGCAGACTCTCTTTGATGGTGCCGGTGAACACGCCTGCAAGGAAATCTTCCGCGATAAAGGGTAGAGCGAGCGCGCCTGCAAAGGGCCAACCCAGAGCACTACCAACGGCGAACCATGCAATACCTTGTGCAGTCCTCATCTTACGTCCGGACCAGTCCATAAAAGACGCAAATCCAAGCATAGCACAATTCATGGCGAAACTCGACGGAAGATATGCAGGGGCAGCGTGATACATGCCGGGGCTTATGACCATGATCATAGAGAAGAAGGACGCAACGCGCACCTCGAACATCTTCTTGATAGCCGTGTACATGCGAGCCTGACATGCTGCGCAGGTTATGGCTAGGACTGCGCGGAGGAAATAGAACTCGAACACTTTGGATCTTTCCAAGCCTAGTGCCTGTAGAGGCAGCATAGCAATTCCTATTACGAGCGAGTGTATAACAGTGTAGGTCCAGCTTCGGATGGCGTAGTCAGGGGAGTACTCCCAGGTCTGGAGACCGTAGCCATGGTTGAGGTAGTGACTTGGTTCCCAGTAATTGAAGACTTCGTCGCAGTCTTGGATGGGCGAGAAGGCAGCGGCGACGAGATTGGCTAGGGCGAATACGCAAAAGATTCCGAAGGCGGAGAGATGGGGTGGTGTACTGTACACATCATACGTTAGCCCGCTAATCGAGAAGAATACTTGGGAATTATGGCATGGCGTATATTGACTCACTCAGGGGTCGAATGCGCCGTCTTCGGGCGTGATGTAGACATCTCAGCAACCAGTCTTGAACGTAAAGACAACACCCATCGAATTCTTGTTACTTTCACAAGAATGACGCGGTGGGTCTCGCGGTCATAGGGCTGAGCTCGCGCGTGCCCGCCAAGCTTGTTAGCGCGCATCCAAAAAGGCGACGTTCTTCCCTGAAGCACTCCTTTCAACCAGAACTATCATCGCACGCATTTAAGCAAACTGGTGCAGACAACGCAGTGGATAACTCAGCGATCACGCGTGCTTCAGAGAAGACTGCAGAGAGAGACACGAGCAATGTCCGACTCTCTGGAACCACCGGCCAAAAGGGCGCGGTTGGAGGCGGACGCTCCCTTTCATGGCACATCTACATCTGCATCTGCGCTCGACGCGCCGGGCTCGCCTGTCGATGACATGGACGACGACTTCTACGACACTACGCCCGTCAAGCCCTCTGTGCTGCCCTCTGCGGCGGACGGAGCGACGTCGTTGTTTGCTACGGCGGCACCCGCGCCAGCCTTTCACCTTCCTGGACTCGGCTCTGTGAGCGAGACCCCGGTCGCGCAGTCGCAACCACAGAACGGCGCAGTCGTCCCAGACGACGCCCCGGAAGACGGCGAGCTCTCAGATGACGAAGCCTTTTACAATGATGCGAGCCCGCAGGCCGCCATCCCAGTCGAGCCGCCCGTAGCCAATCACGGCCAGGCGCAGGATGATGCTCCACAGCTCCAGGCCGTCGCTGCTGCCGATACTCCTGCTGCCGACACAGACGGCGAGCTCGACGCGGCGCTGACCGCCGCCATAGACCTCCAGAACGAGATTGAAGACACCACCACAGATGCCCCTGCCCCCGATGGCGCGGCGTTCGATAGCAAGGCCGAGTTCCTGCGCGCGGCCGAAGCCAACAGGAATGACCAGAGCGCCGAGTGGCAGCTCGACTCAGATGCATCCGATTCAGACTCATCGTCTGACTCTTCTAGTTCTGACGACAGCTCAGATGAAGGATCGGACGAGGGCGAGCTGCTCGACCCTGAGGAGCAGGTCCGTCTCTTAATGGCTGAGGCTGCCGACGAGCCAGGCGCGTCCGGCTCAGTCAAGGTCAAAACGCTCAACGAGCAAGACGAGAAGTTCGAAATGCCCGACATCACAGTCACACAAGATACCAAAATTACAGAACTCGGCAAGGTCGAGTCCATTGTCGGGAACCTCGTTGTTATCAAGGCCAAGATGTCCGGCGACGAGCAAGTGCTCGAGTCTGGCTCGGCGCTATGTCTCGAAAACCGCACTGTTGTCGGCAAAGTCTCCGAGCAGATTGGTCGCGTGGAGGAGCCTCGCTACTCCTTTGGCTTTAATGACGCCGCTGAACTCGAGACTTTAGGCATTCAGAAAGATACACCCATCTACTACGTGGACGAGCACTCGACCTTCACCGAGACAGAACCCATTCGCCGACAGAAGCACACCGACGCATCGAACCTACATGACGAAGAGACCAATGATGTCGAGTTCTCAGACGACGAGAAGGAGGCCGAATACAAGCGCGAACAGAAAGCTAAGAAGCGAGCCAGGCAGGAAGGCAACGACGAGCCAGTGGCGCCCGTCAACATTCCCACTGGGCCCAGACTACACGTTGACGCTCCCGCGCCGCCCATTTACCGTCCCATGGAATACCAGGGCGGTGGTCTGAAATACAGCGATGACGAAGACGAAGATCTCGGCATGTACAAGCCGCTTGCCCGACCAGACCACTTCGAGCAGATTGTTGGACAAGGTGCACCATTAGAAGATCGCAGCCATGTCCGCAGGGGTATGGGCCGCGGCAGAGGCCCCTGGGGTGATCGAGGTCGCGGCTTCCGTGGACGAGGAGGTAGCGGCGGTCGCGGTGACTTTGGTGGTGGACGCGGCGACAGAGGAGGCTATGGCGGCGGACGAGGCGACTTCGGGGGTCGTGGTGGTGGAGGGCAGCGAGGCGATCGAGGAGGCGGCAACAACAACAACAACAACATCCAGAACAACCGAGGCGGCGGAGACAAAGGTGGACGTGGCGGCAAGAATCAATCTGACCGTGGCAGACAACCAGAGCAGTTCCAAGATCGCCAACAGAACAACCAGAGGAACCAATACCAAGAGGGACGATCTGCAACCTCGGCATCGCCAGCCCGCCAACAGCAAGATCGCAGCCAGTCTTACTCTCAGCAGGACCGTGGCCAGTCTCAGCAAGCCCAATCCCAGCAATCTCCAGCCGGTGGCGGTGGGAAGAATAAGAACCGCAAACAACGGCAACGTGAAAAGAGGGAACGGGAACGCCAGCAGCAGCAGCAGCAGTCTCAACAGTCTCAACAACCTCAAAAACAGCAACAACAACAACAACAGCAGCATGCTTCTCCGGCACCTTCTGGACCATCAAATGCTAACGCTTATGCAAACAACAGCAACGCAAGTTGGCCAGTACCCTTCTCCGGTCCGTCGCAGCCAGCAGTCCCCTATGCTGCCGCACCTCCGCCTCCGCCGCCAGCAGCAGCAGCAGCAGCAGCGTACAACTACCAGCCATCGTACACTCCTCAGCCTCAGCCTCAAGCGCCGGCTCCAGCCCAGCCACCTCAGCAAAACCAAGCGGCCAATTTGGCAGCGTGGGCACAGTGGTTCCAAGTCATGCAGACCATGAGCGGCCAGCAGCCACAACAACCAGCGATGCCAGCGCAAGCAGCTGCACCACCACCACCGCAGCCCCAGCCGCAAGCACAATACTCTTACCCCTACCAGCAATATGCGCAGCCGGCTGCTCCCGCGAACCCGCCTCAACAAGGCAACGCTCAAGCTGGAGCGCAGCAGTCGCTTCAAGATATTCTGCGTGCTCTCCAGGGTGGTGGAGCACCTCAGTAGACTTGACGCAGATGTTTAATTATCAGACATCAAGAGTATATTCAGTTCGGAGAGGTGTTTTGTAAGATTATATATGTTGTTCCAGTATGAGTGCATGGCATGTGGAAGTTCCGTTATGGCAGTTTCGACGAAGCATGCGCTCTGGTACTGGGAACAGATCCCGCGATTGGATGCAGACAGCATGCGTCACTACACAAAAAGGGATGCAGGATGTGAGATAGACTTGGCGTTGTACAAGCGTTAATGATTGCTTCTTATGCTTTGAGGTTGCTATGAGTGGTCTGTTGTGAATAAAGCGACGCGGTCGCCGAAAGAAGTACTGCGAAGTAGCATGTGACTATGGTGCACACCTTCATAATCAATCATTAGACATCAGTCAGTAAGGGTGTATGTGCTCGTATTGTAGGAATACTGCGGTTTGGTGCACGCGCTATTGACTCCCTCAATGGAGCACAGAGTGCGCCTATGGCTCAACCTGGGGCCTGCTCTTGGTTCGGACTGGTCCCGAAGTCATTGACTCCTCCGCGGCAGTGTACACATCACGTCAGCGTTGAGCGCAGCAAAAAAGTATAAATACACGCGAATGCAATGTAAATCCATGGCATGTAGCACAGGAAGTCCGCGTGTTCGGGATATACGGCAAATAAGCCCCCCCCCCCCCCCCAGTGCCAGCCAACGAGAGACGCTCAAACGTCGGAGAATAATGAAACAGGAATGTCTCTCTGGCACCGGCGAAAGCATAGGCAGTGGCTCAGTGTACGCCACAAAAGTCGGATTCGCTTCTGAACCAGACTATTGACGATTTAGTTCTGTTATGAAACACGGTGCCAATACTATGATGGTATGATGGGTTGATGGTAGGCAGAGATGGACGGGAGCAAGGGATGACGATGATGATGATGACGGGACGGTGGTTGTGGTTGTGGATGTCAGGGTGGTGGTCGTGGCTTTGAAAAGCGGGGGAGAGAGCTGGAGGTGTGACGGGGCTATAACCCCAGGGAACTGGAGTCGGCATATGCTGCAAACCAGACGGGTGACAGAGCGCGTAAGATGAAATGTAAAGCATAGCACCGTGGTTCGCGATATGACTGCATGCGGCGCGACGTCCGTGTCTAACAGCGTCGTCGGTTCATGTTCTAGGCCGGAGATAGGATTCCTAGACGGATGCTCGGTAGGCTCCGTAGCTGGTAGCTGGGTTAGCGGAAGGGAGTGGGTTGGCCACGGTTGGTGTGGGTGCAGGTGGCGCATTGTTGGCAGAGCATGCCGCTCTCCATAGCATAGTGGAGCCCCCATGCCTGTCTCCATCCGAGAGAAGTGTCAGTGAGCGTGTAGTCAGCCATTCTTCACAACCACCAGCACATACACGCCCATAGCCTGTGACGCTCCTCTAGCAGTCTGCCCACGCTGCCGCCGCTAGACAGTTTCTCGCCCGCTCCGCTCCGCCTCGCGCGCCCTGCCCTGCCTTGCCCACTGCGCTGCCGACCGCCGCCCATGTTGCACACCTCGAGCTGCTGTCCCGCCTCGATGAAGTAGCCGTCCACGTCCACTCTGCGCAAGCAGTCCCCACCACCCCAGCCCGCCGCCGACGCGGGCCACAGTCGCGACTCACACCCTGCACGCCCACACGCCCCGCCGCCGCCCGCCACCATGACGAGGAACGAGACCATCGGCCGCCATGGTTCCGTAGAGAGCTCGTGGAGTTCGCGCTCGGGCGACACAATACGGCCCTATGGACGCGCGGGTTCGCTGAGGGGTACCCCCGTCACCGTCAAGACGGACAAGAACCTCAATTCCCGGTATGTTGTTTCGTCTGGTGCCGTGCGAGATGGATGCTGGGCTGGGGAGGCGGCGCGCGCTGTGCGCCCTCGACCTTGACTCTGGCGGGTCTCGTCTTGACGCGGGACGAGACATTGTCTTGCCCTGTCTTACTCTTACACGTGCATCGACAACACAACCACCTGGGCACTGCTAACACGGCCATGTAGTGTCGAGCGGGAATCAGAGATATCGCCTGGCACCGTCCCCCCAGCTCCGCCGCCCAAAGACAACCCCTCGCACCGCCCGCGCAAGCCTGCCAATTGGGACGGTCCCACGCCGAGCGCCTTTGGCCATCACCGAAAACAGCTGGCTGTCCTGGAGA